CTGAAGACTTTTCAAGTTTGTTGTTTGAGACCTATAGGCAATACAATTAAGATTGGTTTTCAAAGGATGTTTTAAGTGCTAAATAGTGCTCATACATTTGCTATTGACAATGACTCCTCTTTTCCTGCCTTTAAACACCAAAGGCATCCCATAAGTTATTATCCAAGGCGTGTTTTTGGTAATGCGGAGAGTCACTAGCATCAGGTTGGTTCCATGATTCTAAGCGTAATATTTAAAAAGATTTTGGACGGTCGGTCACTGCAGCCCAATGAGTGTACAAGGAATGACCAAATGGTCGTAAATACGCAACAATTTCCAGGTCAAAAGTGTTCAACAACTGTAAAGTTTCAGCAATACGAATGCTTTACTGCGTGGCTTCATTCCAAAGTGGGATTTTTATCTGTCTGCTTGATTAAAAACAGAAAACTATCTCTCAAAGTGATAGAAATGTAAATTTTGAAATACCGACATATTGTTTTCTGGCTAAAGCGAAGGAGCACTTAACAAAGGCCACCCTTGGTGAGCATTTTCTTGACTTACCGAGACATGATTATCAAGCTGCTTGGGAGAAGTATATAACATTGTCACCCGTCTATGTCGTCACCTAGTAAGCATACCATTAGTATCTCATGACACCCCTGCAGATCGTTGGATAAGAAATTTTTAATGTACTTTAAAAATTGTACACGTGCGTGTGCAATTTGCATCCTTCTAACTGAGTGTTGTTTGTTCAGTATTTGCTGTACAATTAGTGCAAGTTAAATTCACGTTTGCCGTCCACTGCCGTACTTGTTAGACTGCAATTCGAACAGTCAAACTTTCAAATTTGCCGAGTAAATTTGTGCGCTTCGGTCATTTTACTCTTGACTGGGAAAGTGGCCTGTGTTAGCTCTTTCCGAAAGCTTTGATAGACGCCCTGCTTGCTTACGGGTTTCGTCAGGTTAGGGTATTTGAATAGCAGGTCAAAGGAGTTCAGTCAGCTTATCTTTTTGAGAGTCTTTGCTGATTACCTTTTTTTAAACAGAAAGAGGAGAGGCGAAGCTTCGGCAGCTATCGAAGTTCCGTCTGCCCAGCGGAGGCAATATAGTCGCCCTCATATGCACTTGACCAAACAAAGCATTACATGGCCCTTACTTAGCATTGTTGAGCGATTTAAAGTTGTGAATTTCAAAATGCTATGTTGATGGCTCCTCTGGTAGAGAAAAGGTTGTATCTGTTAACTCGTTTCAAATCATCATCAATCTTTTCGAGGTATGCATAAAATCTTCATACTTTTACTGTGGAACAGTCACTAAGGTTTCAACTGATTTATTAAAAAATGCTCTATTGTATAACCGATTCCTTTTTTGCTGCATCGATTGTAGCATTTCTCACCCTACTCTCAGGCTCGAGCACTTCTGTCTTTATGGATGGAGTTTTGCTTTGGGCAGCTTCATTTGGCATTTGCTAAAGCGTACAAGGGAAGTGGAGGTATTTCGGGGGCAAGTCGCTTACGTCAATCCAAAAAGACTCCTCACGCCCCTTTAACACCAGTTTTTTATTGAATGATCGCCTTTCTTTAGTAAAGGCAGGCTTTAAAATGATGGTATGCATTGCATCTATCGTCAATACCAAATCCCTACTCAATAATTGCGCCTTCGTAAAAGTACCGAAAAAACCTACACACACAATGTCTGCACAACAATTTTCTACATCACTTTGATAAGTTGCTTTTGTTGACTGTGATTTGATCGAGTACTAGTTTGGGTCTCCGATACTAATAATCCGCCGGTAAGTCTGCCTCCAGGCCAGATCATTGCCCCTTTTCTCCATGCCATTGTGTACATAAGTAATGCGTGACAATAAGCTTAGATATTCAATTTTGGTTGCAACTAAAAGGAAACCTAGTCTTAGGGAACGCATATCTTAGTATGAATGTTAGGTACTAAAACTTAATGACAAGACAAAAAAAGGGCTGAAGGTGACTTCTGTAATGCTTTGTTTATGTGACTGCCGGACGTTCGGCGGTCACTTTAGAATTTGTCTGACTCCTGTACACGTGGATTGGCCTTCGGGCCACGCTCAGGCCTCATTTGCCCTCACTTATGTCTTCTTCCACCCAATGGGAAGCTTCGAGACGCTACAACTTCTACCTCCAAAAACACTTCATAGCCTTTTACGCGTTTTAGCTAACAGAAAAGATGGCTTAAACAAGTCGTGGGTCTCATAGTCCCATTTTGTTTGCGCTTAAGAGCTACCCAAATACGTCAACTTAAGTTAAATCTGGCTAGCAGAGATGTGAAGAGCGCATCGCGCCTACGGTTCTGCAACATAGTACGATGAAATGACAGGAGACAGAACACTCCTCTATGAATATACCTTCAATCTCTGCTTGTTACAGTGTCACTACAATTTAGCCATAACCGCACGCACTGGTCAAAACTGACATAAAAGACCCAGTAGGGTTCCCATGAAAGTTACGATCAAATGCTCTACTGATATTACTGGCTCACGGATTTAGAGCGTCAATCGCTCAGAGTGCTGGCGCAGAAGGTCAACGAAGGTCACCGTAAAGAAATATGCCCAAAGAAAAAGAAAAGTCATCAGATAGAATAATTGCTTGTAATGCTTTATTTATGCGACAACCTGATGTCTGGCGGTTACTTTATTAGCTGTCCTGCCTTTGTATGCGTGAGCTGGCCTTTGGGCCTAGTCAAGATACTATTTCCGTCTGAGCCTCCTAGAATACGTGCATTCACCTCAACTGAATGTCTTCTTCTACCAGGTGGGAAGTCTCGGAACGCTAAAATGGTGGCAGCGGAAAGCAAACCCGACTTTTTAAATACCTGCCCTAGCATCCATCGTTCGCAACATATATCTACGACGATTAGAAAGCGCATATGCATAAGTGGAGACCCAACAGAAGGGTTGAGAATGATGCCTGCGTTTGGCTCCAACCCTTCCTCGTGTTCCACAGGCAGGCTATTAACAAATGAAGCGACGCTGTCGTGAACCATCTGGAGAAGTTTCGCACCGGAAGCTCCTTACCACGTATAGCTATTAAAACGATACTGCTTCGGATCTCCTTATGTACGCGGTTGTGTTTGACCCCGTTTTCTTTGGCAAATATTTGCCTGGTCCTGGTCACCACCGATGGTCCGCAGAAATTCCTCCTTACTATCTTTGCCCTCATATCGGAAGTAACGCCAGATCCAGTCGTTACTGCTAAGAATGCTGATTGCAATCCTTCAGCCTCATGGTAGCTGACGACTGGCACGGCCGGCTCGTAGGTGCTTCCTTGTGGCACTAGATATGTTGTGATGGCTGGTGCGGGAGGTGTACCAAGGAAAGCGCTGAGGACGTAACCCAAAGAGAGTGAGTGTAATACTTTGTTTGTGTGACTACTTGATGTCTGAAGGTTACTTTGGTATTGGTCTGGACATTATTCGTAGGGGCTGGTCTTTGGGCCAAGGCAAGGTTCAATCCCTTCTTCGCCTTCCAAAATGTATGATATTAGCTCAAAACCATTGCCTCCTTCCATCCGATGTGAAGTCTCAGGAAGCCAAGTCGTTTATTGTTTTTCGTTTCTGCCATCGATTGGTATTTGCGCATCCACTTTTATTTATTAATTTAAAAGCGTTGCAGAATAAAATTGTTAAAATCTTAGACAATGACAACCAAGCGAAATCATTCGTAACCCTTATATACTTCATCAAATCACGACGCCTGAGCTTCTGTCACAATTCCTACTGAGGTAGAGCAGCATATGAGATGCTGTGGTAACATCTGTAATATATGTTATGCTTAAATTTCCCTTGCAGGTGAGAGTAGGGCAATCAACACAAATCTCATGCCATACCCCATTTCCCCTACTACTTTGTGCCTTGCAGAGGTGTCAAACAAACGTTATCAAGGTTTTGACTCAATTACAGAGAAAAAGGTAAAGAATCACAAGGTTAAAGTGGGAATCACCACACATCAGGCGCTTAAATTTCCCTTTTAGGGAGGTGGCGGGAGTTCGATTTGAATGCGTGCTCATGGCCGCTGTGGAAGATGCGTCTTTTCTCTCCAGGTGAAACTCTTCATCTTTCAACACCTCAGGCTCATTGTTCTCATGGATGCCAAATAAAACTCTTCCATGTAAGGCCTCTTCGGAAAGTCTTAAGGAGAGGAAGCCGAAAATAGCCACAACCACCTGTCTTCTGGGCAATGGATTGCATAAGACATTTAAAGGGGCAGGACTTCGGGATGGCACGAAAGTCAGCATACCCGCTCGAAATGCGGTGGGCTTGGAGGGTAAATCCACTAATACAGGTCATAAAAACAAGGTATTGCAAGCTCAAATGTGACTATTTTGACGTATTCTAGACGAAAATACAAATGACAGAGGTTTCAATCCGCTAAAGTGAACGTGAAGTGGAAAAATATTGAACCATCTAAAAGGGCCTGCTTCTAAACCATCTTTTAAACATGTTTAATCCTTTCGTTTTCTTCATTACAACTAGCTGAAATTTGTAAACTAAACATGTATTTCAATCAATTGGATGCCATAGATAACCAATTTGGTTTAGTGAGTAAAGTTGGAAACATTTTTAGACAGTCTAGTTTACCTTCGTAAAAAATTTTCAAGCGTATGACCAACACCCAATAGCAGTCAGTGCCTTATTTAAGTTTGCGGCCCGCACGTCCAGTGTCTCTATTCACACTCTGTTTGAGGGACGTTGGTTTTACCACTTTCCCTATCTGGTACTTTTGCAGTATGTTCTCCCTTTCACTATGCATTATGGTCTATTTGGTTAAGTTAATTCGAGTTCGGTTATGCATCTGAATAAATGTATTTGGCATTACTATTATTGTGTGTACGTCGGCTGCCGTATTTGACTTTGTGCTCTAAAGCACTACTCTATAGAATCCGCACTATCACCGATTTGTTGAATCTAATTTACGCTCCTAAAAATGCTGTCCCAATTAGAGATGGGATTTTTTCATTTACACTACATTTCCTTTAAGCTATTTAGAATATGCTGCTGGACTTTCCGCGTCAGCTTTCCTCCTTACGGTCTTGGGTATTCATTGCGGCAAGACTATACTCATCTGAGGGGAAATTGACCCGACCTACGCGGAGAAAAGGCAAAAGCCTGTCTAAGGAGCGAGGTCGTTTCCAGTCGACGCCGTCAATCGCACCACCCACGAGGTTTTCGGAGTGTTGACCCTAACTGCTTTGCTCTAGTCAACTTCTTGAGGACTTTATTGTATCAAAAAGTCGGAGTACTAAGGAGGAGGGTGGTAGTCTCGAAGAATTAGGTGCAACGGGACCTCCAGAGCACCAAAAATCATCCCAACTCACACCCTCGAGAGGCATCCAAGTGCAGCCACCGGACAATGATGCCATCAAATTCACGTAAGCTCCTTCCGTTTATTTGGCAATGGTACCAAAGTAATCTCTTCCGCGACTTCGTAAACACAAAAGGCTACCCGTCGAAGGAACTCACACAAGTTACCCCCAGGCCCGTACGTCGTTCTGCTCGAGTTCGCCATGTAGAGCCGTAAATCCCATCATAACTCCCCGATTTCCTTAAGGCTTCCACTCCCAGCAGAACTAAATCTGTTTGACGAGACAGCATTAGAAGACCCAGGTAGCTCGAAATATTTTACGAGTTGCTCTTTTTCACAGAGTATACAGATCAGCCCTACAACAACGAAATTTTCAAAGAAATTGAAGCACTGGAATCTTCCGCCTATCGTGCAAAATCGACACATAACAAATTTGAAGAGCTCATCCAATGGACCCTGGATGGAAAACTTTGGCGATACCCCATTGACAATGAGCAAGGCAATCATTTAATTCTATGGCTTTTACCTTTTTCATTAGGTTGGGAGGAAGAGCTTACTACGCCTTTCCATGAACACGTCTTCATGGATCGGCTTGCCAAAGAACAAGCCCGATCGAAGAAACCTCCACCCCTAGAAGCCTTCATGAAACTGGTTTGTGCCGGCCTTGGCCAAAACCCCTACATCAGCGTCAAGGAGAAGAGAGACCACATAGCTTGGTTCGAGAGTTACTTTTCCGACAAAATAAAGGACATTGAATCTGCCGTCGAGGAAGAGAAGCGCATCGCCCAAGCCGAATCGAGAACACGACGAACGAAACCCGATTCGTGAATACTGAACCTTAATTCATTTCGTTCCTTTTTCAATAAGACAAAGGGTGGGATGAAGGTACCACACTCGATGAAAGGTCACTGAACTCGTGACCTCTCGCGCACTTTTGGTTTTGGGTCTTTACTCGGGTAGTCGGTTAGCGCTCCACCGAAGGACCATGCCATTCGTCCTTAAAGTCATAGATACCGTAACAGGAGCAACATTCGGACCGCACCCTTCAAACCGGCGCGATGGAGTAGCATCTCTCGAGACGCTCACAGCAAACCCCTTCGTTGATTTGTCATTGATTTTAATGTTTGTCTCCCTACATTGAAGTTAGAAGACTATAACTATGCCACTGACACTTGGCCGACAGAACTGCCGCCCAATGGGAGCAGTGGGGCAAGTAATCAGATGTAGCGAAATACCCGGCAAGGATCTCGCGCATATTTTTCACGCTTGTAACGCCACGTTGAAGCAACGTAGCTGACTCGCGTGAAGTCCGACAAGAGAGGAGGGTGAAACTCTTATCCAATGTGACTTACTCACGTTAGCGTTAAGGGGGAAACCACCCGCATAGAGTACCAGTGATGATAGAACAATGATAAAGTAGACGCAGCGAGAACTAATTACGCATCCAGAGTGAAGCGTAAGGCTGTTTGATTAAGCTTCCATTTGATGTGCCCGATGCCTTACGACCTTGATTGACCAGTGCAAATTGTAAATAAACCGCAGATGGATGAAGAAGGAGTTGATACCGACAAACTTGAATTAGGTAATGTACATTTACTCCTCGTCCTCTTCTTCATCACCATTGCCGCTCTTCTTGGCCTTCTTACGAGCAACACGTCCAAGCTTGCCAGCAGCGGTATTGAGGCTCACGTCGATATGCTTGGCAGAATCAAGACGCACCATGAAGCTTGGACAATCAACAAGCTGTTTACGAACACGAATGTGTCGCTGACGAATCAGAACACGAGCATGATGAATCGACCGTGCAAGACCCATTTTGTAGACTTGTGTTTGGAGTCGACGCTCAAGAAAATCTTCAATTTTGAGGCCCAAGACGAAGTCCAACTTCATTTTGTCTTCGGGAAGTACCCCAACACGAACCAAACGCCTTAGAAGCGCAGAACCTATGAGATAGTTGCATTCTCAATGAAGTGCATGTAGCCATTCAAAAGAGCTTACATGGAGAAGTTGATGAATGCTTACCGCCCTTAGTTTACCGGCTAACAAACTCTTAACGCGAAAAAAACCGAATAAGACCTACCCTCGAACAATCTCCGGGGATCACGTTCATCGAGAGTCAGTAATTCACGAGCCGCTTTGCGAATCTTAGCAAGGACTAATTTGACACGCCAAACCTCTCGCTTATTCCTCAACCCATACTGACCGATGATCTTCAACTCCTGATCCAGACGCTCCTTTTCATAAGGACGACGAGGAGTTGTGAAGGTTTTTGAATATACTTTAGGCACGCGACTCATTGCCTACATGAACACACGTCGAACGTCAACCTTCAAACTAGTGCAGAGCACACGGCTTTAAACAAAAGAAGCAGTTTTCTAGAAGGCACATTAAGAAGTGCACCACGTCAGTGTCCTTAATTAGGTCTCTGAAAGCAGTGTTTAAAGTATATTATGATTTGTGTGATATTTTTACCATAAACTAATACAAAAAGTGTTTTAATAGTTTCTGATTTCCCTTATCTAATGCATGTACTTTATCCCTTTATTCTATTTTGAATAAATAGCCGGCTGGTGTTTTTCAATACAAACGTACAGTTGGTGTAGTATGCCTGTCCTTTCTGCATCACATCATGCAGCGTCCGACTGAAACAAATCAAGATAACTCTGCGCGTTGTTTTATCATTTCAAGTTAAGGAGGTTTAATTATTCTCACTATAACCCCCTTAGACATAGTTAGAGGTCATACATGTGCCGAAAAATAAGTCAATGCCATTTGCACTTTCCATTCTCCTCCTCTTGCACCAATGACCATATATTTTCCACTTTGTTCTATGTTCCCCTCCCCCATTTTGCGTACACAAAAGGTAATCTTACTTCAAAATCTTCAAACTCATTTGACAATAAATGAGAATTAAAAGAAGAATCACTGAAATGTTGAAATTAATTTCATGCAAAGGCGCTAATACACACGCTTCAGCTTAGCGACACACTTTATAGGAGTGGAGGTGGTGGGTGGTGCTAGGTGGATGGGAAATAAATCAGAGTAAAGTAGGCGCTAGAAATTACCTCGACTAAACATAATCAAAAGCTACGTGATGTGGTTCGGAGGGCATCATAGAGTATTCCAAGGAAAATCAATACACATTGCGCCTAACTAGTGCTCGCAATTTCCGGCATCGACCCTCGTCATCAACGAGGGGAGGTGTGCCAAACGGGTTGGATGTGGATGGTGGAGATGGAAGGAGGGTGAAACGCCCCTGAACTACCTTTGATCTCTCAGCGCCCTCCGTGAGGGGCTGATAGGCTGATGCCAATGGAAGCAACGTAGTGAGGTGGGGCGAAGAGCATGGTGAGGATCCCGTCGATGCAGATGACGGCACAGAGGGATAGCTGCTCTCCTCAAGATCACTAGTAATAAAATTAGTTGTATGGTCCATTTGGGAATCTTGACTGTCTAGCTGCATCTCTTCGTAGTAGAAGTTGTTTGAGCTGGAGTTGTAGGGCAACTGAGGTGTATTGGCATTTGAACTGTTCATCAAGCTCATCAAGTCGTGATTTATGTCTGCAAGTAAGAAAGTATAAAGTGCGTTAATAAATCAGTTTTAGTAACAATGATTTTATATTTACACCAATTTTCGTGCAATGAGACCATAAAATTTTTACAACCCTTCAATCGACATACATAGGTAAGCAAAAGCGTGAGGTTTAGGTGTAGTAGGTTGTCCTTCATCTCATTCCAACTCATGATAGATGTTTAGTTTTTTTAGTGGAATCGAATCCGGTTTCTAGTGAATACACTTCGGTGTGTTTATCAACTCACAAATGGAACTAAGGGAGTGTCAGTGTTTCATTGTTACATTTACCGCAAAAAATTAAAGTTACGTTGAAAAATCAGTCGTATGTGGCGGGTTTTAGCCGCTCCACAAGCCCACATCAGTCTAAGCTAATAAATGGTCATCATACCTACCTGATTAGTCTGACTCGTTTAAACACTGCTTACCACAAAGTGGAAGTGTTTTCTCGTTTGCACATAGGAAAACATTTTAACGTCCAACAGATAGCTTCACTTTGCCCCCAAATGCAGAAGAGATAAGGCGAGGTAATGATATTGCGGTTTTATTGCGCAAATTTCCAAATCATTGTACACGGACAGTAGAGCAAACGTAGAAAACACATCACTTGAAGTGATATTTGAGCAAAGACTAGAAGGGGTTTAGTAAAGTGTGGAAATATTTACGCAACGCACCTGTTCACACCGTTGCCTCGCCTTATCTCCCTCCTCCCCATTTCAACCACACACGTAACGACTCAGCTATGAGCCTAGCACATTGCTGCTGACCCAACCCCAAAAAACTACCTCTTAAATTCGTCATCTTTTGGCGTGAAGTTGAAGTCTTTTCGTTGAACAATTTCACTTTCCGAGTAGTGCGGTTCTGATGTTAAGATTTGGAACAAAGTCCAGAAAATATGTAAACTATCACAACATTCAAATGCATCACGCCACTAATGAACATCAGAAGAACTGATGAAGGTAAAAAACATTTGGTGTGTATTAGATTTCAACCTAAGTATCAATCTACTTTCATCTCTTTTTACTGAAAAGGCTTGTAAATATTTAGGCTATGGTACACTTGACTGGACAACTATAAAAACTTTTTCTAATTAACCGCAAAGTCGTGCCATGCTTACTGGTGTTGGTCTCGGATGGTGACATCGTCCGCTGGTTTGTGGGAGTGCCTGAAGGACGTGAGTCAGCGGTAAATCCCTTCTGCACTGGAGCCGTGTCTTCGGTTGACGCTTGGGTTGTATGACTGCCTTTCGGCTGTGGATTCACATACTTAGCAACAAGCCTTTGATTCTTCAGAGTACAGGCACAAGTTGCACTAGCAGGGAAGGTCAAAGGGCGAATTTCTATGCATTCGCGTGTCTTTGTGTCAAACCTTTCCACCAAACTGAGAATACCCGCTTCTGGCTCATCTGACCACCCACCGATGATGTAGATGTCATCGCCGAGTACAGCAGATGAGAGGTTGCTCTTTCTTCGATTCATCTGTCCTACTATCTCCCACTTTCCTGTAGTAGGATCGAAGCGTTCGATGCTACGGAGCCTAGTGTTTCCATCATTGCCACCAATAGCATAGATATAACCCTCATGCGCCACAAGAGATATGCCACCTCTGGGGGAATGCATGCGACTTATGAGGGTCCACTGATTCGCGTCAGCATCATAGTATTCGGCAGAGTCATGGTACCTGCGCCCCTCGAAACCACCTGCCACGTAGACGCGATTGTAAAGCTCTGCTGCTGCGGCGTCACTGCGAATACGATTCATGGAAGCAATTGGCTGCCAGAGATTCTCATCCAGGTTGTAGCGCTCCGCTGTATCCAGACGGCCTTGGTTTTCTCCATTATGTCCTCCTAATGCGTAAATATAGCGAGAGGCGTAGGCCACGCTGACATAATATCGCTTCTCGTACATACAACTAATTTCATACCTACAAATCCAGAAAGTTGGATAATTTGAAAATCCAAAGAAAGGCAGATTTAAAAACCTGCTGATGCCGATTTTTAAAAGTTTATTTGAGCTGAATTGTAAGCAAGCGCAGACTTTTAGCAAGTGACAACCTTGAACACCTCTTGCATCAACATCTGCCCCTGTTTTCAGTAAAGACTGGATCAAGCGTGAATTTATGAAGCCTTACGTGTGTTGCTTTGAAAACTTTTAGAAAACTCACCACCATTAGCGCGTTGCATTCCAGGTAAGTGCACATGCAAGACTCTGACAAATTGCTTTTGCAATGGCCTCTTCTTCTACGTAATGTGACAACTGACATAAACGTTTTTTATTAGTTTGTTTGATTTTTCAGACCTCGCATAACTGTGCCACGCTTATATGACCCCGTAATTTCTGCCTTTGTAAAAAAAGCTCGATTAATCTGCCTATGAATGTTGCCATTTCCAATCAAACTTACCCGTAAGTATTCATTCAACTTACCATCCCGAATCCAATTCGAAGTCATAGCAGAGAGTAGATTTAAGCGCATTCGTTCCATCGAATCCACCGACTAAGTAGACCCGATTTCGTACCAATACACAGCCTGCATACACCCTTCGTGGAATTTCACCTATGAGGCAAGAGATCTCATTCGCCCCAATAAGTCGCTCTTCGCACCGGTAGAGTCCGTCGGGAAGTTCACCCGAAGGATGGGCTGCCGAAGGCGAGCTATCAGTTCCCAAACAGGTGACGTTTGAAGCGTCAGGATGAAGGTTGTCTAACCACTCATAGCGGGGACTCTGCGTCTGACAGCCCATTTCAGTCCACAAAGTCCAGGAGTTGCTGCAAGGACTAAAAATCTGGGCCGCTGCACGTGGACCCTCGCCATCGCACCATCCACCAAATACACAGAGTACCTAAAAGATTTGCAAATTCTTGTAAAATCTAGGCCAATCATGTACCACTCGCGTTGTCCCGCATTTTCAAAGGCAAATTACCTTCAGCTTCCATTAATGAAAGTGCTTTAGGACTGAAACTGAAGTTTCATGCTAAGATGAGTGGAGTGGTTTAAATTGGCTTAACTGGCAATAGCAGCTTGAGACCTCGGAATGCCGCATTAGCCCCTATGCCTGTCATCACGCAGCGGGCTGCAGCATATTCGCATTGCTCTACGTGGGGTCACCAGAACGGCGTGCATGTGTGAGCTCACGGGTGAAATCTGGATCGTTAGTCTCTGACTCGTTTGTACCTGCTGACTTGTTTCCTCACTCAGTGTATCCTCTATGCGACGCAGTTACGTATTTGGTAGTTGCATGCAATCTGATTGCGAATGCGTTTTTTTTCTTGTCCACATCGTGGCACTCAAGTGTAATTAATACGCTTTAATGCCGAATAGGCATAACTTTGACAATAATGATGGATAATTTACAGTTATCGCAAAAGCACTTGGCTTATTAAGTTTCGAAGGCGTGGTACTCCACCCTCCTGGAGTTACATGTAAAAATGCTTAAAGTCATTGAGGCTTACTTCGTGTGGTGTTCTGGGCCTAGTCAAATTTAGCTTTTGAGTTTCGTCTAGGCGGTCCATCAATGAATATATGCTGTTGGGCCATTCCAATACTGTTTGTGCAAAATCTGGCACAGTGGTTAGAAGCTCATGGTTTTTCATCTTTTCAAGATCGCTATTACGTGCCATGCCTAGGCGCACATTCCAAAGGAGTTTTAGTGCTACGTCGACTCGCCCCGATGGGTTCCACGATATCCACTTCATGACAGCAGAAAAGACCGTCAATTCATTTTTACAATTGAGTGCATCATTTTTTATAATGGATTCGACATCGTCAGCCTCCATTTGAAGAAAATCTTCGGATGGCCACACATTTTCAAAATTTTCCAAAATTTTTTGAAATGCCATATCGCCAATCTCTGGCCAAAAGAGCAATCGTCCTGTCAGCCAGAGATTAATTGCCGTCGAGGGGTCATTTGAAAGTTTCTGAATGTAATTTGCGCACTCTTCCTTTAATCTTGGTACCAAAAGATAATCGGCGGCAATAAACACGTCATAAATGTTGTCTGCAGTAATAGAAGTAGAGCCGCGTCTGATGTACTCAACCACAGAATTAAAACCAGCATTGAGGAATTCAGGCAGTCGTATAATGCCTCGACCTCTATGATATCGAAGTAGCCTCTCGAAGTAAGCACTCTGTTCAGCCAATTCTACCGTCACGATGCTGCAAATATCGCCGGACTCCATAAACTCTACTGCCCGATCGCATAAAAAGTCTGTCTCGCTATCTTGAGAGAGGCGTGATTTATCCTGTTTAGAGTTGTTAAACGGAACGCTAGAGTTACGCCGTCTTGCGTTATTTTGCTCCATCACTGCGGACCGACGGGCATCACGTTGTCTCACATCGCTTGTTGGTCGACGCATCGGTGGCCTATGAAATTATTGCTTGGATAAATGTAGTGAATTGTGATAAGATTAGTTTGATTTATTGGAGCAAAATGTTGAAACTTCGTGACGGAAAGGTGGCCGCAAATTTTCCTCGTGACTTTCAAGCTGCTTCGTCAGTCGATAATCACGCCATTCGATCGATTCGACCAATCAGCTGTGCGTCCTGTCTCCTGCTCGGATGCTGTTCAGTTCGCACACCCACGTACTCAGGAAAGCGGGCACCTCAAATCGCCACAGTTCATGGACTGACTTCAACCACAAATTTCATTTAGAAGTTTTCACTGCTTATACTTGTACCTGAAAAGGTTTGAAGTGTGACGTACGACGCTCTGGAATTTCCTTGAAGACCGAGAATGGCACTGTGCTACAGTAAAAGATGCGACTTGGACCACTGGCATAGTCCAGAGGCTATCCCGCCCCAGTGACGCCAAAATGCCTGGCGTCAATTGACAAACCCATCGCAGACCACGTATTGGAATTGATAAATTTTTTTAGAAGGAAACAATTTTTTACAAGTATAGCGCCCATAGTGGAGGTGAGAGGGTTATTGAATCCCAGTCATCAAATTACTTTCAACGCACAGAATAAAAGTTAGGAACGCAGCGTGGTGTGAAGCAAGACGAAATGATAAGAAGGTTGAATGACCGAAGATCCATTAGAATAAACTTAGAGTAGAACATGTGGAGGCCATAGAGCTATTGCAATTGCATAGCAAACCAGGTGTATATGAGAAACTTCTTCCCTCGAAATTCATCAATGGCTACTAGTCTGCTAGAGATATTGCTGTTTTGTTGGCAATTTACAGAGTTTCCCTAAGATCTCGTAGTATCCACTTCCTTTCATTTATGATGCGCTCGTCTAATTTCATTTTATCAGAAGCGCCCTCGTCTGTGCTCCACAGCAATAGTCGACAGGGAGCCAAACTTATACACTTGTTGCTATTGGTGGGAACGATTGCCTGAAATCCGAGCCAAACTCAAGATAGCATTACAGAGGTGCTTTGTCCTCCATTCATTATTACTCAGTGATCAACATGAGTTTCATTCAAGCAGGTGAAATAGCACTTCCTGGTTAGTTCACATTGTTTCATCTATTAACTGTCAAAATTTCATTATAGACCTTTCTGAGTGTTACAGCACTCCATGCATAAGTAAAATTTTCGCAGACTCTGAGCCACATTGATTGCCAGGTGCAGACAGGACTTCAACAAATTTTCATAAATGCTTCCTTATGGACTTTGCTAGCCTAAAGAAACAGAAGAGGTGCCACTAGAATGTCAATCCATCACGCCCTGTTCAGTGTAGGTCAAGAGGCGTATCAGCTTTTCGCAATGCGGTAAATGTGAAGTACAGCAGTCTTGAAGTTGTAGAGCAAACTTACAAATAATAACTAACTCTAAACAGGCTTATTCTGACATTTTCATTGCTTGACTAATTGGGTTCCTCTGAAAACCCGCTATCATTCCCGCTGTAATAGGTATGCAATAAAGGTATGGACATTAATCTAACCAAACTGGACTATTCGGTAGGGAATAGTGGTTCACTCGATTACACGGTTCTGCCCTTGTGTCGGTTAGTAATATGAAGTACTTTTTTGGGTTTACAGCATACACGTCCGCATTCTGTCGATGCGCTTGCGGGAGGGAGTTCAAACTTTGAATGTGTTGCTTAATTGTCCTGACACATCTTTTATCTCTCCATCGCCGTCTTAGACACGCTGATACACAAACCACCTAATCTTTGCTGCTGGGAGAATCTTGATTTATGTCTTAGTACAAGCGATAATTAACGTACAAGTTGGCCGAGCGTACAGCTGAACTAGAGCCAATCTTTTCCTTCCCTCCGTGATCCATGTGCTGCTAGTATCAAGCATAAATTTGGGTGAAACATGATATTCACACAAACTGTCGGTGAGCAGCATTATTGCCAGATACTCGAGGCTGTGCTTGCAGCTCACTTTAAACGAGTCACGAAAGACGAATTTTAATGGATGGTGCATGGCATAATTGTGACAGGGAGATGTTTCAGTTTTGCTGGTGCTTTAAAGGACAATTTACCACTCAGAATGGGAATGTGCATATTCAGCTAACCGTGCTTAATATAAGACGCATTCCATTAGGAAGAAAACTCATTTAACCGGAATAGCTTTTTGAAACTTGTCATAAATACCGATGTATTTTGGCTAGCACTGAAGAATGGGGCTCGTGGTGCTGGAAATGAAGAAGTTGTAGGCTCTCAATTACTAACGTCGTATAAAAAATAGCCCAATCTGCGGTTTTATTTTATTAAGTTGGCTGAATGCAATACCAGCCAAAACGAATAAACTGTACCATCAGCATGGGCATTGCTTGCTTCGATAGCTTTTCATTACGGCATCGTGAACCTGTTTAGATGACCAGTCTGGGTGTTGTTGGCGCAGACATCTATAGGCTGAAGTGACGAACATCAAATACTTTGAGCAGGTGGAATTTTTGCACGGACCGTGGTATTTGGCCTTTAGACATTGAGCTCGTTTCTCATAGATAGCCTTTTGTTTAGCGTCCATCTGCCGCCACTTGCCGGCAACTAGCCTTGAAAATGCTACCAAATCTCCATTATAGCAGTCCTTCATAGATTGCAGAAAGAGGGCATAAGCACCTGGAGGTCTCTTTGACTTGCACTTAAGTGGATCCCTCCTACGTGGACGCTTGGCTTTTCTTGGACTGCATGAGCGTGAGGACGAACGGCTCATGTCACAGCAGCAAACTGGACGGGACTTCGCGCATCCCATGGCGGGTTGAATATTGATTGGCACACATGTGATGCCCCTTAAAGGCCGAAAGCCGCCGGAGGGTGGGATCGGCGTTCCAAGCGCTGGGGCTTGGCATACATTACCTCCACGGGGGTGGAGTTAAAAAACATATCGTCCTGAAATTTGCAATTACTCTTCAGGGTAAAAACTATATTGTGCTCCAAAGTTATGCAGGGCTTGGTGGGTCTTAATCGTTGGAAAATCTCGGGGCGCTGCGTTGCTGACCGCCAAAAAATAAGTAAACACAATTAAACGGTGAGTGTCTACAAACAAAAACAAATTTGCAACGCTAAATTCTTTCAGCAGCCCCTATTTCAATGGAAATCTGGAATTCCAGTGCTGGTAAGCTTTACGCATTAAAAAAAATGCTTATCAATGACTCCAAGCCCTAATGCTACTGTTGCCGCATCAAAACATTAATCCATGAATCAACTGTCATAAACGAATAGAATTATGATATCCCTCCTTTGTTTTCCGAGATCAAATCAAGTTCTCAGTTAAGGAGCACATGTCATTGCGCCTTCGCCAAACGCGCTGGCCTCTTGGCCACGGCAGTAGTCCCAATCCCCGCTTGACGCCAAGACCATTACGACCCTTCTGAGCGCTATGCTCCATTCCGTCTTTAGGAGTGCGACAGGGAACTACACTTAGCATTAACATCACTGTCATTCAGCCTTTTCATTATGGCGCATTACTTGTTTGGAAATATCATGAAACAGCTAAGCACTCATAAAACATTTCTTTGTTATGGTAACTGGTTAGGTGAATGAGTTGGAGAGGATGCAAAAGTCATGGTATCTGCCTCGAGAAATTGTAAGAGATCAATCAGGCTATTTATAGAAAACAGCAGTCCACTTACGGACCTAAGCAGATCATACACTCATTGCTTTTGAACTGCATATATTAGGATTGAGCCGGACATGTCCGGAGTGAGATAGCGAAGCACCTACCTTTCCAACAATTCACCGATTTTGACTTGTTGCTCACTGAGCTAGCCAAAATGATAGCGCTCCACGGTGTAGTAGCCGAATGGACAATCCAGTCACCAGTTGCCAAAGCGGTCCACACAACGAAAATAAACCAATTTTACTTCATTTTGGGTCTAACAAGATATTGTTTATTTATTGTTAACCTGATTCGAATAACCGGGGTCAGTACGAGTTAGCGACTGAGTCAATTGGCAATACAAACATGGAAGCCTGATAAGTGAGGTATGAAACGTAGTAAACACCTGAAAGGGTAATTTTCTTCGCTGCCAGATATGATTCAAGTTGTGATTTCTGACAACGTGGGCGTTGAAAACCTAAGTTGATGCGACAGGCTAGAACAAGAAGGTGCATGAACCTGCATGCTGAAGTTACGAGTGCACACTGCGCAGGATTTCACAATCAAACATAAAAACCCGAGTGAACGCAGACGTGAGGACGGCGTCTTACTGCAATAAATTCTCTTTTTTTAAAACAAGAGAACCTCCAGTTATACTAAAACTAACACCAAATACGCGACACAAATAATTAATACACGAGCTTGTCGAAGCAGTAGTCATTTGTTGGGTAGAACAACCAGGCTGGAGGGGATGCACCACACATCAGCTTCAGTGCTGAACTTAATCATCTCAAATCATCAATACCCCAACAAAGTAAATTGTTTTACTGGCGTCAATTGGCAGAAATGAGCAGCTACATAATATTTAGCTAATTATGTGGTCTTCGGCGAAGTCCAACATCATAGAAGTCTAGAACAATGATAGCACTGTAAGCCGCTGATTTTTCCTGAGACAACGTCCGGCGTAGTTACCTTATCAAGTCCGATGTGAAGGTGCTTTGATAAGCTAAAGAAACAGCGCAGAGGTACCCTCCTCGCCCAAAACCCAACGTGAGACATCAATAAAACTTGCTTTAGTAACAAAAGTAGGAAGTGGAATCTACAAGCCTAAACCTCAGATATTAGACAGAGCAGTCGATATTAAATGGTCGGTGCAGCGGAAACGAGGAGGCAACCTCACCGGAGGTTAAGGTGACTCACATAATGACCTACTTGGCACTTGCTGTTTCTTCAGCAGCAATGTGAGTCACACCATACAGCAGTAATCAGGCGAGCCAAAAAACTAACCACCTGCCTTACATTTCTACGGCACAACGATAAATCACAAGTTTCTTAAAAGCCGTTTGGCTTAGATTGAACCGGTGGGCAATGGAGTTCAAATTAATTAACCGATGAAAAAATAAAACGATTTACCAGAAACAGAAAACTTCCGCTCTTCGCACGGTGTTGTAAAACCACACCTCGATGAGTCTTCGACCAATCGCGACCACTGGTCGCACTTCAAACTAGACCTTAAAACGTTTCTCAAATAAGTAGATTGCGCGATTTTATGAAGTTGCACGACTTATCGTGCATTCACACAATCAGTTCCCAAATAGGGATCAACAAGACATTTGTGATTTCTAAGCTTACCAAAAAATGGCTTAGTAGAAGCAAGTATGCATATTAAAGGCAAGCGCCACTGAAAGGCGCCAGGAAAATCATTGCCTTTTCAACCAGATAACCCAGGCTCAACATCCACGAAGACTCAGATAATGAGCCCAAACTCACAAACAACACGTACCTCCAAAGGATATTAAGATAGTGCAACTTCATGACCAACATGGCCCACGTATGCAAACAACCGTGATCCAAACCGACTTTAATGCCCGTGTGGTGAAGGGTAAATGGAGCAGACACGTAAGAAGTTCAACCTTGAGTACTGTCTGTCACTAGTCCATTTTATCGCCTTTAGTCGGAAATACAGATTAGAAGAGCGCCAATGGGACACAATCAGTAATGTAAAACAGCGCAATACATTCCATCACTAATGCCAAATAACCACTTACAGCACACTATTGTGCAGAGGGGTGAGCGATGAAAATGTGTCTTAGCCATGATTTACCAGAGGAAAAATGCATATGGATGAAACAGGGTTAAGTCAAAAACTGACAGCATCGCGCCCTCCCCTTTTCATTTTGGATGCTCACATAACCAAAAAGGATAAGGAAATACATTAATTTTAAGGCAACCGTATTCGATTTTCACTGTTGATGAATGAGACCTACCAGCATCAGAGAGGTCCCATTGCCTTTCAAAAATGAAGACTAGAAAATATTCGATATCTACTGGTTTCCAACAGACGCAGAGAGACTAAACATGAGAAAATCGACATGCTCACCCCTTCTGCGTTTGAACAATCAACGATTCGTCAATCTCTAACTGAACAATACGATTTTAAAAAAAATTAGAGCAGAACTCGAACAGAAAAAAAAACTGATTGATGACTTGCCCCAATGATACGCTGCTAACCAAACAGGAAAGCTTGGTAAATGAATATGATTAGTAAAAGTCGCTTTCGTTGAAATAGCCCAAAAGACACCACAAAGGCAGGAATACAGAATTAATGCGAAATCGAATGATAGAGGACCAGAATAAATAAAATATTCACATGTTGAGGTTATGGTTAATAGACATGGACGTAACAGTTTAGTGAGTGAGGGAACAAGACCACGTGGAAAAACAACGATGAAGGAAAGCATGCGCGTGCTGAGAGATCAATGAGCGCACTTACCTAGGAGAAAAATATCTGATGTTCATTTAAACAGTACAATAGCAACGGTGACTCAGAAAGACAATATCATGAGTTGTTGCAGCATGGCGGGAACTCAGAAAGAGGGAATGTTAGGGACTTAGATGTTGACAATCCGTTTGAAACTGCATACAAAGCAAATATTAACAGCAGCCACTTGAAGTTCCTTTGGACGGATTTGAACCAGAAGCCGAAGCTCCTGAAGGATAGTTGTGTGGACCGATCTTGATACCATTGGCCTAAAAAAACCGAACTCTAAAGCAAGGCTCATAATACCTCATTGTTCAAATCCAGAATACCCTCCTGAATTTTCTCGTTTATTGATTTGGCAGTCTCAATGAAAGCTTCCTCAACATTCGCAGCCGTCTTCGCTGATGTTTCCAGGAAAATAAGTCCATGTTCTCGAGCAAATGCCTCGCCTTCTTCCTTTCGCACATCGCGTCGACTTTCCAGATCAGATTTGTTGCCAATAAGCATTATAACCATGTTTGAGCTGGAATGCTGTTTTGCATCCTCCAACCATGATGTCAAATGCAGGAAAGTATCACGACTAACAAAAAGGATAAATACCTACAATTCCTTTACCGAGTGATGTCGTAAACAAGTAGAGCTCCGGCAGCCCCGCGGTAGTAAGACCGTGTTATCGACCTGAACGTCTCCTGACCTGCCTACATTTAAGTTACCTAAGTTATGTAAGAAACAAACCGTGTCCCAAATTTGAAGCTTTATCTGCTTTCCATCGAGAGTAATCATACGAGCCCCAAATTCAACACCAATCGTTAGGTCGTGAACGGGTTGGAAACGTTTATCCGTGAATTGCAATAAAAGACAAGACTTTCCGACGCCTAAATATTCCGTTAATTAGAAATCCCAAAACAAACCAGTGTCGCCGATAATAATGTACTTGAACATATACGAATACGACATTTTCTAAGCTGTTTGTGAGGAGCGCTAACAAAAAAAAGCAACTTTAAACAACTATTAACTTACAACTGCAAGTAATATTTTATATGCATTTATTAGCGATTTCTCGCAAGAGTATTTGGTATTTCGTATCTTTGTTGGACTTGACGTGTGAATTATAATATGAGCGGACGCTGCAAATGATGCTGCGTCTCGTATTTGTTGTGCTGACGTTTCTTGGTGGGTATTGTGGCAATGCTGAATTTAATCAAGCTGCTTCTTACCTACCTACTTTTCGATTTTAACTCTGACAGGCTTTATTCTTGTGATGCACATTACCTCATGCATTCTTCGGATTACTGGTATTTATAACTTTGCACATTTTAGGTGTATGCTTATCATGCATACATGTGTGTCCCTTGCCCTTTTTAAAATAGCTTCATTTCGTTGTATCAGTGTTTTACTTTCTTTATAGTCACTGGATCCCTCTGTCAAGATGTGGAAATAAGCGATGACGACCCCTTTTCTCCAGCTCATTCAACATCTAATAATGATTCGCCTGTATGTTTTGCACGACGTAATGCTCTTTCAACGTTCTGGCTGATATTTTAAGTTGTATTTTTTTGCATAAACTTTAATGCTCTCCGGCACTCCGCAGGTATATGCATCGATATTTGTTTGATAGGCGGGATTCTATGTGGCGGCTCTTTTTGTGTTAACCTTAACTAAAGTCACGACTTTCAGGTGAATGAGAACGACTTCTACAGGGGGTCGCCTGATATGAATGCCATCTTGTCTTTTATAAACCCACCATTGGGCCATCTGGGGCCCTCAAATTCGATATCTCTTGTGGCAGGGAAGCCAGCAAGTTTTATTGTGTCATTGGAGAACAACCAAAATAGTTCCAACTCGTACTCTCTGCAGATTCTCGAGGCTGCATTACATTATCCTCGATACTTTGGCTACCATATTCAAAATTTCACCGTTCAGCGTCTCCAGAACACATTGGAACCGAAACAACAGGTTACTTCCAAAATTTAGCACAATCTATTCTAGGAGCTATCTTACTTCTGCCTTAGCTTTACGGATCGTACTTGTTTTTGGTCTCCATCATAGCCTTTGTGCTGATTTTCGTACCTTTTTGTTTAGGCCAGTCTTCACTACACTTTTATTCCGGCGGCACAGCTCACCGGACAACACTTTGATTTGGCTGTCATTTTAACGTATCATGACCAAACCGGCAAAATTTACTCTCATGCTCTCTTTAACGAAACCATTGCGGTAAGTATAGGCATATGAACGCATCGACAGTATCCTCTGCCAACCTTTGGCTTGTACATTTTGTTAAAACATCAGCTCTTAATGTTACATAGGCTTTCTCTATCGGTCTATTTGAAAAGTCGCAGTAACCTCCACTGACTTTTGCTGGACGTGGCGCCGAGTTAGCTGTCACGAATAAAAGAATATAGATCCACACGGCCATGCGTCCATTTACTGGCAGTTATAAATCTTATTCTTTTTCTCATCTTTGTCAGTTTCTGGAAGACGCAGAAGGAATGGACGTGGAACTAATGTTCCTCGGGGTGATGATAGTTGGCGTCTGTATTCTTGTTTTGATTTTTATTTGGCACTGGATCTCCAAAAAGGCTAGTAGGCGACCTCCTGGTGGCAAGCCAGCAGCTACTTTCAATGGGACAGATGGCACGAAGTTTAACGAATACGTAACAAGGAAGTCGCCCAGTCAACTCGATACAGGGAACGGTAATATTTTCCTATTCTTGGTTTCTTCTGAGCGGCATTTTTGGCACTTGGCCGCAAATAACAGTTCTCGAATCCTCTAAGAGGCTGAGTTAAAGCTACCAAGTCACGGGGCTACTTAGGTGTTTTTGTGAATGGCTGGTCCCCAATAGGGGAGTGTTCTGTAAAATTTCTTTTGCCGTCTCACTCGTTTACAAACTAGCAGGTTAACATCTGCTTATGCCACCTACAAATAAATCTCGAATCGCGTTTTATACTCTTTAAAAGGTATAATACCCAGATGGAACAGCGTTACTTAGTTCTGTGCCATTGATGTCGTTGGAGTCATTAAAATCTCATTTATTCTTTTAGGAAACAGCAGTGCTAAGGTGAAACACCGTTCAAGCAAGAAGTAAGCTTGTCTTGAGTTCCCAAGAGCTCCCTCCTCCATCAAAAACTGATTAGTCATTTCTGCCCATTTGAGCTCCGTATTCGTGCTCCCCTTTTGGTGTTTTTTATGCCCCTCGTTGACCATAGACACCGTTTCTGTGCTCGATGCATTGTACAGAAAGAGGTACATTTTGGTAGCAATTTCGGCTTATAAGTTACTTGAGCTGGATTACGTCTGTAGGGTACCTAACTCGTAAATCAGGCGCGATTGTCGCTTTTGAGAACCTATTGCCTCACGGCATCCAAATCAATAATTAGCAATTGTTAGTAAACAGGAGTATAATTACACTTCAGGCGTGTCTATCTCGAAGATGCACGGCAAGCACACACTGACTAGTCCAACTTGGCCAAACTAGGTGATAGTTTACAGTCTAGGGTACTATTCCCATCGCTATCGTACCACCTTCGTGAGAAAAAGAAGAGAAAGTACGGCCTGCTTGTGATTTAGCGCAGTGCAGCGGTTTATACAGGATATCAAGCAAATAAGGTTTCTTCATCGGAGGTCAACACATCATGTACAAACGCATCCTCTTCCTGACGCTCCTTGGACTTAAGTATGCTCACCACGGGTTGTGCAGTTAAAGTGGCTTCAAACCTATCAGCTGGATCGGCCTCTTCCACCTTCAGCGTTACTTGAGGATCGAAGTCCATTTTTGGGAAGACGCGCTTGTAGAGTGGCATGAGAACAACGTCAGAAGCGTCGAGCTGACGGTCGAAGATACACTTCATCAGGCCATGTGTGCCTACCGACTGTTTAATGTGACCCACGGCTCCGGACTTTGTGTGCAGTTGGATGGGCTACATGGAAGGCATACGATGAAGCATAGCCTACTAAATGGTAGTTGTTAAACCCTGGCTAGTCAGTGGTATTGCTATAGAACTCATACTTGGCAAAATGTCCTCGTTCGCTTTTACTAAAGCGCTTGTTCATGAAGCGGGAATAGTTGACGTCCCAATTTATGCGTGTCACATTGCACACAGAGACGATCAACTATGAGATTGCAACAGTCAAAGTGAACGTATGTTGAGCAAAAACATACCTTAAAGTATTCAACATCTTCTGGTGTATGAAACATGTAGCGCACGACGACTGAACGGCTGTTAATTTTGTAGGGATGGCCCGAGAGGAGGATGCGCTTGATAATGGCCCTTGTGGGGTCAACGGAGAGAACAGAGCCAGTGGCTACCAAACGACCCACTACAACTTTGGGATTAGTCTGAAAGAGAAGCAGTAGACGCTTATAAGGTGAAAGATATGGAGTCACCAATATGGGAAATTTTACAACTAATGAAAGGTTGTAAAGGTCTAGGCAAACACACCTAGCACTATGGTAGCAATCTGAACTGTCTAGATTTCACAAAAATGGGGCAATGAGAAGTACTGGTGGTGAAGGGAGGAGGGAGGACGTGACGTACCTGAACGGATTCGATACGGAACTGGAGGACGGTTTGCGGGGCGTAGGTGACTGGTGCGTACATGGTGGCGACGACGGGTGAGGAGCTGAGGGTGAAGAAACGCTCCACTTTGGAGTTTGTGTTAGCTGTTTTGCTGGTCTGCGAATAGATGGGCGAAGCTGTGAAGCGCCGGATTCCCACCTGTGCCAAGGCAATATGAACGTCAATTTTGACTCTAGAAAATTCCAATGCATAGGCAGCGACGACTAACGTATTAGCAAAACGGCTAGCCGATGAAGGTCAAGACATTCCTTGCTGTGAAGGGGACGAGCATCGCATACTTTATGCCTAACTTTTTTGTTACCTTTCATAGATAAATTTGCCAAAAAGCAAAACAGAATAAGTGCATTTAAACTTGTTCTAGGGTCTGAATCACTCTCAAAGTACCGAAAGAAATATTCACAAAGCACAAGGCATCAGAAAAAGCACAGAAACTGTGACCTCATTCGAGTAGCATCAAAAGGAAATGATAGAACAAACGCTGCTGCTTACTCGGACTGGGAACTACAAGGTCGGAATCTACCCATATACGTTGAAGGACGCTGGATTTAACATAATAAAAGTGGTCAGAACTTCCTACTAACTCTTGAGATTACCAAGTCTCCTTCAATTTGCTGATCTTTGACAGTAGTCGGTCGATGTACGCATGAAACAACTCATAAGTGGACAGCTTTTAAACTTATCGCCTCATTCGTCGTACAAATTCCTTCGGACCAAAACAGCAATTGGCCAATAACAGGAGTCAAGGCCATCGTAACATAGTTGATAAAATGTGGATAATTCAGAAGAATTCACTCACTTGGAATAGCATAGGTTCCTTCGCCATGATGGGGTCAGGATCAAAATTACCACCTTTAGCATCTTCGTCCATTGGAGATTCGATTTCTGTTTGACGTTTATGCATGGTTAAATGTATTACTGACATACACCGTTCGTAAGGCAGTAAGGACCACACAGTAAGGGGCCGGGAGTGATTGTGATCTGTGTGAAGACTCATTATCGCCCTCCCAAGGGCTTGAGGCACAGGACCCAGGGTAAGACTTGCAACAGATCCCGAGGGAATGGATGTAGGCTCGGTGCTCAACTCCCCAGCGAGCTGTCTCAATAATTTCAACGTGTACTTAAACAGAGTTCTGCGATTGTGGGCATAGTTTTCAAATCTGTAAAGTACATGCTCAACTGAGATGCTGCTGACAAATTATAAGCAGGGAGAGTATTGAGTAGACTAACCTGAATATTTTGCCGTATTCATAAGGCAGAGAAGTGTCATTAGTTGTTGGCCACGTGCACTTACTGAAACTGGGTAAACCCTTGTATTTTGCAAAACGCTCTCTTGCAGGTACATCAAAAGGTGTTTCAACCTATAACGTAGCGGTTGAACAGACATATTAACAAAATAACTGCCTAATTAATTATCAACAAATATTTTAAGGTGGAGTAGATGCATCAAATCAAGCCAGAATTGCTAAGATGGTGCCACACCTCATCAGGAAACTGAAGTTCAATTCTGGCCGCCTTGATTTTTTCAGCCAGCGTTTTGCCCTTGGGAGCAGAAGTCGCGGAGACAGCCGACTCAGTCTTGAAGGAGACCACTTTACTTGATGGAGCCTTACTATCAATGGCATCAAAGTAAATTGACTCGCTGTCGGACCCTGATGTGGTGCATTCAGCCTTTACTTCCGCCTCCGCCTCCTCATCATCACTATCACGATCATCATCACTATCGACTATCATCTGATCCTCGTCTAAAATTGTCAATGAAAAACAACATAAACCTAAACCGATATTCATTTGTCCATCAAGTGCTAACCTTGAATAGTAAGTTAAATCGCTCACGAAAAATATAAAAGCCACTGCTACGAGAAAAGCATAGCATTAGCAAGCTTGAAAAGTTTAGCACTAAACAATACAGAAGAAAACACCGGTCACCGATAGCCGATAAATTTTGACATGAATTTAGTCATTTTACGATATCAACTGACATGCACGTATTTACCCTTATCAGATTCGTCAAAATCAATGTAATCCTCGTCATCACTCAACTGCAAGTTATTCCATGCAGTGCTGAGTGCATCATCCAAACATCTGTCCGGTTCCGTTGTGGCCTTCCAGCAGAAAGACTTGGGAGGCGGCTGGAAGGACTTCATACAGGGCTTATATTCAGTCCAAGTAGCCGATCTTAGTGGAAAATCACCCCATCCGGTTACGTGCATATATGGACAGCCTGTGCGCCGTTGGTCAACGAATGATGTTACAAGATCAAAGAGTGGAAGATTCCACCCACGAAGCAATCCTTCTAAACGCAAGTAGACTTCATCCTCTAGAAGAAGACATACCTAAACTTGTTAAACTCAGACGAAAGCTGTTAGGGAATTCCTCATCTAGAGACCATAAAAGGCATCACAATCATCACACAAAGATGTTTAATACAATGGGTCAGTAGCATTAAACATAACTGTGATCACAGCGCATATCGATGACTGTCTATCACCATGCCCTTGAGGGTGACAACTACATACGCCATCGTAAAAAACAAACAAGTCCAATTTCACAATCTACCCCAAATGCGGCTTAATACACAAACGTCCTAGTAAAGCAATAGTACGACAAAAACAGAAAATGATTAACAGAAATGAAGGCCATACAAGCAGCAATTTACCATTTTCTTCATGCGGCATAACGCTAATCCCCTCCACCAGCATCCCGCTACGGAGACGAGTAGCAGCAGTCCCAACAGTCAGTGCACTTTTTGTTGACATATAGCTGTTAGCAGACGAAAGCGCCGGCTTCCTCTGTGAGTGCGAGAGAAAACGAAGGAGACTTTGGGCATCACCAATCGAATTCAAAACACGCACTTTGCCATCGCTGACTGAAAATTTTGTCTATTTGGGAAAGCATTTGAAAACAGGATATGGTTATACACAAATTGCAGATATAAGGATAGTACTGCTCACTTGAACCGTGGAAAGAAGCTCTTTTCTGTCCGAAATATTCGACATGACAACGAAAATTGAGGCTGGAAGTCCTTGCGAATAGAGCGCTAGCATCAGTTCCGAGTAGAATTTAGAGTCGATTCTTGACATATCTCCTGGAAGAATAAATATAATCCAGTCGGCGATGCGTGCAAGATCAAGGCACCCGAAGAAACTTCCGTAATTCCCACAAACGAAACAGAACGACTTTTTAATAGTAGGAGCATAAAAATAATCTGGCTTTTGCGAGTTCTTCAATGAGTTGAAACCAGGTACTTCGTGTTTAGTGGATTTTGGATCACCTTTAGCAAGCATCACTTTCGCTAGTGACAAATCGATCCCGCTGCATAGCGGCAGCAATAGACATGTTATTGGTACTCCTGTTTGATTTTGGACCAAAGAAATCTAAAGTACGCTCCCCAGAAAGCAAACAATGACTTACCTCTTTAGTCTTGCGCAGCCGCTGCTGTTTAGCTAACAGCCTTCTGGCTGTTTTCGAAAGTTTCCTCTTCGAAACCCCCAATTTATTGCCTAAGTTAGAGGACACAGATGTTTTCCTCCCGCCCTTGTGTCTTTTATTGGTCTGCTTCAGACTTCCACTGACATGTCGGTGGAGGCCCATCATCCACGTGATGCCAAAAGAGGAAATGTACACATGGGTTAATCGGAAATAATTTGCCCATTTACATTCACCCAAATTAGTTAATTGAGCAAATCCTTTAAAACAAATAAGTTACTAGTGCCCAACGTTACGTAACATCTCCTCTAATGCAACTTCAATGTTAAATTGTAGTTAGGTTTAATACAGAATACAAGCCAAGCAAAAATGATTGCACCAGGATTTAACAATGTTTAAGGAAAATATTACGATAATTGTTTTGGTCTGATAAGGTGTACCGTTGGACGGAGCGACAGCATTAACTGACAAGCTCTAAATTTTATGAATAAGTACAATAACGACGGAGAATGTTCGGTTGTTTACCTCGGTTAGGATCACTTAGTTGGCCATATTTGCTCTGCCGGATAGGCTGTGTAACGTCCCGGGACTTCCATTTCGGTAGAAGGCATTGGGTGGGGCTTAGTCCCTTTATTTATAGAGGAGCGGTATAGGTTGTGCTTTGACCTGACCTAAAGGCCTGCCAATGCAAAAAGGAGGAAGATAAATATCAAAGTGATCGCCAGTTATGCAGGTATTACCCTAGCCTTTGGACCGTGCTGAAGGTTTCCATCCATTTCTTTCAGCCACATACATATTTTTGCCAAGATTGTGTATCTATTACTGTCTTCTGGGAGGTCTTAAGGTGGCACATTGAACGGAGTACCTTATTGTGATTTAATACTTTGTATATTCATCTACTATTACAAAGTCCCGAGACTTTCTGTTCAGAAAAAGAAAGCATTGGACATGTCTGACTGCTTGCATTTAGACCCTATTGGTAGGACTGAGGCTATGTCTGGCCCAAAGATCAGCTCTTTCTGCAGAGGCCAGATAACCGCCAGTCATGCAAGTAGTCCATAAACAAATTATTACAATTTTCCTTTGCTTTTAAGCGATGTTGTCGGTGCTTTTTTTTGCGTCTCCCGCACCAGACATTGAAACGCATTCGATGCTGCACCAAACCACGCCCAAGCTGAGGGGCCTTCAGTCCTCTAGAAACTGAGGGAATGAACTTGGTCCCCTTAGTAGCCTCATCTGGATCCAGAGTTACCTTTGGCTTAATTGCAGGAATCTGGGGCAGATACTTCTGTGGCTCATCAATTGTGTTTAAACTAGACATTTGAAAATCGGTCTAAAACGGAGTGCGTAGTAGAGTAGAAACGTAGAATACAGTTTCGCATAGAAAGGAGTTTGGTGTCGCGCCAGTGCCGACATCTGCTTGTACGGTAAGTGAAACTGCAAAGCGAATCTTCCCCGGATGGCTTACGATCGTGTAGATTCGGTTACCAATAGTTTACTAGTGGAGACATAAGTGAAGCAGATGTCAATGTTAGACATTTTTTTCAAACCTCTTCCTGTGAAGAAAGAGATTCCCTCATCTGAAGCACATATATTTTAACTACACCGTGGAAGTTTTTCACAAACTGTGAAAACCATCATTGAAGTCGTAATATGGGTATGACTGAATACTTATATTTCGATGGAAAAGTAGAGAGAAGGCTGTGGCCTTCCCATTCAGCTGACGTCAGATGATATTATCCAAACAAGTTGGCACGTAACCAAAGTATTGCAGTCGTCCCTTTTAATCATCTGGCTTTTGATTTATGGGCTTTCCTTTGGCTTAAGCCAAAGTTTCCCGTCTCCTTCGTGCCTGAATTCAAGTGTTCGGCCATGAATAATGCTTTCTATTAATAAACGGGAAATCTCAGGACATTACACTGCCATGTTTGTAATAAAAATTACAAGTTCCACTGACTATTGCGGACGGTTCTTATGTTAACCGCTGTTAACAATTCCCTTGCCTAGTGTACCAAGACTTTTATAGAAACAGCGAATGACGAAATGCTCTAATAGAGTACCTACAGCTAAAGAACAGGAGAGTTTGTTACAAATGTCGAAGCACAAAATCAGTTCACTTGATGGAGGTCGAGGAGCAAGTAATCATCAGGACACAGTACCGTTCACCTTTGTATGAATAGTGCTGTTGCTGTAGTGTTATCTGGATAGCCGATGTTATTGAAGAGAATAGTAGTGAGTTCTTCTCTGCCAAAAACTGTTATTAACTTATCGAGTAAAAGATTAGGAAGTAATAAAAGTTTATCCCCGGAGATGTCACATAGCGTGAATATTGATCGTTGGGTTGCTGCTACTTACACTACCTGCTTGATGGTTCCCCGAAAACTGCTTCTTCTGTCGCGTTCATCAATGATGATCTTTTCATCTCCATGGCGTACTGTTTCTAATTCGCTTTTGAAAGTGTCGTCATATTAACCTTGCAACGTACCGTCTCGAACAGCGTAATCTCTGTTGTGGTGCAGAGCGTGCGGCACGGGCAGGTATATTTTAAGATTCTCTACACCTGCTCAAGTCTGTTCACCTATTCTAGAGAACATCGATTCTAAATACAAGCTAAAGAAATCAAAATTTATGAGGGTGCTGGAAAAAGTTGGACGAACTCTTAAGCTAAGAGTTTATCAAATACAGTCTTGAAGCGCGTTTGACAGGTTCAGCTCAAAAATTTTAGAGCAAATTCTGTACTAATCCTAGAGTTAATCACGCTGCTCCTTTCACGGCTTCGCTACTGTCTGTCTGCTGCGAAACAAATACTGGCATTTCCTTCACACTTTGCGGTTCCCTTCATGTTCTCACCACTGTCATGAAATGCACTTAAGTACAGCATTGCATTTATAGATGAGATAAACAAATTTTGAAGAACTGTGCATCATGAAGTTTGATTTTAGCCGCAATATCCTCCCGAAGGTTGCGTTTACTCAAGCTTTCACCTGGGACAGGAGCAGATGTACTCAATGAGGTACTTTAACAGTTCTTATCTGAGAGTAATAAAACATTCCGCTTTAAGAGCACAAGATTCAAAATGCATGGGACTCTCCATATCACCAAAAAGCACAAATTGGACCATTCTGGACTCATAAAATCCTTTGCCTACTCATTTTAAAACTGGTGGTCTCTATAGGCTGCCAAATTAGCAAACCAAGAGTGGGAAGTGTGTTTTTTCAAGAATAACTTTTGTTAATTCTAGATCCGTACCACCCACTAGAACAACGGTGGAGCGTTCAGAAGCTTCAGGAATTCGGTTGGAGATAACACATATGACAAGGGCCATTAGGAATTTACTTTCACTTTAAAGGGGCGTCGAAACGAAATTGCAAAGAGTTATACGTTCAAACTATTAAACTTTGTTAATTCTCTTGTAGATAGTTTTTGTCTGTGGCATTTAAACGTTAAAAGTAGCTATGCTACTCTTCGACATGGAAATAGCAGTCGGGATTACCAACCATCTTGGTGCCCTAAGTGAAGAGAAGTGTTCAAGTCCTTTCGACTACCATCCAACCTCCTAGAGATAAGATTTGTGCATACCATTAGGCTGAATACTGGTTCTTGAAATCGCCGTTTTGCAGTTTACTTCGACTACTTTCTCCTTCTTGGGGAAAAACAGGTCAACATTTTCTAAAACAGGGTTTAGCACGCAAGCGATGCTCGTTCGCACATCACAGGGGCCCCGTTCTGGGTTCCTTGGTCTCGTTGTGACGACGCGGCAGGAGCGTGTCCCTTGACATGTCGAACAGGTCGTCGAAGTCATCGTTGTTGTTAATTTGATCAGCAAAAGGGATCGGCGGATTTAGACTTGATTGGAGTGACGGCGTCTTTGTTTTGCCCTGTGAAGGGACCGTTCGAAGTGGCTGCGGTGGAAGACCGGACACTTCCTACAATAATAAGGTGCCTTAGTGTTCTCTCTCATTAGAGGTTCTTTACAAGCTCTGTCATCATGCAGCATGGTTGTGAGTTTGGACTTGGGTGAATGACAAGCCATACTGTGCTTATGCATTAACTCCTTGACTAAAAACCACTTACAGGTGCTCCCAGTGAAACGCTTATCAGTCACTCTATCTACGACTGAGATTGTACCCCGTGACTGGCTATTAACATTGCCTTTCTGTTCTGGCAGATGCGTTAATGACAGAACCACGTTTTGACTGCAGTTGGAAGATGAGAATGGTAGAGGAGGGTTATTAAGGAAACGCCTTTTTGATGATCTGCAGGAATCAATTGAAGAAGTAAGGAAAGTAATCATTTTTTGTAACTAAAGTGATTCCAGGAGTTAAGATCCTTGCAGTGCGATAAAGCTTTGGGAAGAGAAGACGTCATGGCAATAAAGTCAAGCTCCTCCTCGTCTCTTGCCAAGTGTGTGCGCACTATTAAAGTGATTTTCAAACCCTTAAAAAGTACTTCACTTCCAAAAAGGAAGCCAGTGGCATGTAAATGTATCAAAAACACAAAATTAGTCCTTTAACAACGGAAGCAAAGTACTTACGCGATTTTCTGAAGCACAAGCATTGTTTTACGTTTTTCAAATTAACCTGACTTAACTTTTTCAAGTTGGGCTAAACAACTCTGCTTAGGGTCCCGTTATCAACCAATGAACTCCCAAACGTGAAGTCACTGTAATGTAATCGACTTGGAGATTCTCAAAGCCACGATCACTAAGACACCACATGGCGTGGCTAGGAGTCGAAGGTAGTCTTTCCTGGCTCTTTTTAGTGGTTCGAATCAATCAGTGCCCAGAGGAATGGAAGAACAGAAAAGCCTTCACTTAGTTTAATTTTGCCATAGGAAGATTTGGCGTCCTCTGTTACACACTTTTCATAAAAGTGTCTTTGTTTTCAACTTCAAATACACCCTCACATGGGCAATTTATGATCCAAATTTATTTGTTCATGCGTGCCAATGAGCTGAAAGTACAAATCAGATTCGTTTTGATAGCAAAGAATAATGGCGCGTTCTTATCACAGAAAAGCGTCGAAATCATTACTCTACACTCGTGTTACCCTTTCGCCTCACCTACGGGCCACTGGAGCCAAGCGTAAACGGTCATTTTTGCTGCTGCCAGTGCCAACAGGTATTGTTTAAAATTGAACATCAAATCAAATACGTTGCAAACCTCATTGCCACAAATCCAAAAAGAGTAAATTTATCGTAAGATTTACTTTACCAGATTAATATTAGAGGTCTTTGGAATGGTATCGTTGCTCTCCCTTTGCACTGCCCAATTTATCGAAGGGCTATTTAGTGGAGGGAACTGCCCTGAATGGGACGAATTGCGTCGTCCCTGAATCTGAAGATCCAATTTGGAACCATTTTCCGGCTGAAAAGTAGTGAGAGTCACTCTCGAAGCCGCAAGGTTGGATCTCAATAGCTGAGGTGTCTGAGACACATGGCCCATCGCCAAGTAAACCATCCCATTCTGGTCAACAATGTAATTTTGTCCGCTATTAGGCGAGCCTGCCAAGCCCGTGAGGCAGTCCTCCGAGGTCAGATTCTAAAACAAAGTGCCCATTAAATACGAATGTCCCCTATTTCTAGTTTGATATAGACTACGAATCTACCAAAGAGGGTAGTGGAAATGCGAATGCCACAGAAATGGAATTAATCTCAATCAGCATTCTGATAACACTTTCACATTGGTACTGAAGTGTGTGCACCAACACTGTTCCACTTTATGTCCACTGATAGAAGATCTCATTCGCCTGCAGTTTGTTTCGTATTTAAGCTTACAGCAGGATTTTTGCTCCAGCCAAAGTTCTGATGAAGATCAGATTTGTCCCTACGTAGACCGAATGGTGTCCTCTCATGAAATGACCAAAATGCTACTCTTCATTCAAAATGTCGGTTGACTTTCTAGTATCTGACTGACAGGTAATTTTGTAGTAGTTGAGATGTCGGCGGGCCGTATTAACCCAGAACTGCGTGATGAATGCGAAACCGATCTCTACCTATCGCATTCATGCGGTAGCACTTGCAGAAAACAAAGCATGCAGGTCTTGCATGGCATGCGTGTCTATCATAAGGCAATTTGGCAGAGAACTTGAATGCGTTCCCTTCATCCATCACCCACTTGCTCCGCCATTAAAAAGTCAAAGTTGATGTAGCTACGATAGACGTGCCTTACTTAAACGCCTCTATCAAAACACTAGCAATTGAATTTAATGCGATCGAATCAGAGCCTTCAAAGCAAAAATAGGTTTCAACTTTGTTAAGCTTAATGTAAAAAAAATTAGAAAATACGATTCATGGTTAACAAATGGCGCTACTGTCTTTTCTATTTCATTATTTACCTCAAACTAGAAAGTCCATTTCAAAAAAAAAAACACTCAAACTCATCAAACCATAAAATCATTGCACTCTATTCTCCTTAAAGGAGAAATCGCAGAATCAGTACCATGGAGAAGTTATATGCATGGAGGTCCACTAAATCATGGCAACATGTTATCCCATTGCCCTCACAATCGTCATAAACGAAAAGGAATTTCAGGAAAAGGATCTTGAGATAATTTTGCACCACAAGTTTCATCAACAAATGCCGTGTTAATAATAAAATGAGCAAGAAAGGCAACGGCAACACCTACCTGCTGCGACGCTATATCTCCCTTGTTTAAGTACACAGTGGATTGGTGAACATCATCATAGATGACTTCGTCTAGTGGGGGTTGGGGTGGGTCGGAGGGAGAGCAGAGCGGCTCTTGATGGTAGGAGGGGAAGTAGGTAAGAGCAGTGAGAGGTTTGCGCCGCGGCATCGGTTCAGTCAAGGGTAGTTTAAAGGTCCCTTGTGCTGTCATTCTGCCCCAGGGTGCATTGCTTCTGCCACAGTTGCCAATAGTGTCAACGCCGAAACTGTCGCCCCTGCTATAGCCACCTCTGGTGAATCCGAAACGTCGGGGACGGTAGGTGTCGGCGAGGCTCTTCAAACAGAGGCACGTCTCTGTCGCTGGAACTCGGGGACCACCCTTAGCTAGGCCCTCTAAAAGCATAAAACGGATATTTTTACCAAGTGAGTTTTTACGCTCCTCACCTCCACCGAAAGAAGTTATGAAGTTAAGTGAATTGGAATAGAACTGTTTTTCAAAGTTGGGCTTAAGTGTTCCTGCAGTTTCATCCATTGGAAATATATTTGATAGCACATCTAATTGGTTTTGACCAACGTCCTATAAAAATAACTGAAATAAGGTTTTCCTTAGATGCAGTCATAAATTTGCGCGTAATTTTTAATCTTCATCCTTAATGTACTCACAATTCTTATTTAAAGTTGCTGGCTGTAAACAATGCAGGACTACTTTGTTTTCTACTTCAAGGTCATCCACAAGTTGGTGTGGCTGCTTTTGGACCGCTGACCTCTCCATCTTCATTCTCAATTTGACCAATCGGATAAAAGACGAGTGAGAAATGGTACTGTCTTGATCAGCCTCCTGAGAGGCCTCGCCGGACCATCGGCCAGAAGGATGGCCAAACTCAACTAGTGCTTTTTTTCATTGCAGGTGGCCGATCAGTATGCTTCTCACAGCAACTTCGCTTTAACCCATTCACATAATCACAATCATTTTTAACAAACCTGTAAGATCTGGAACGCAGCCGTAAAATGTTTCATATTTTTAAGGAAAAAAAAGGGCATTAGAGGGCTTGTAAACAGATGTTTGGCGTCGCAAATCATGGTTTTATTTTGTCATGACGGAGAAAGCGGATTCATATTTCTGGTGGCCACAGAGATGCATGATTAGGAGCTTCAGCCAATCCAAGTGCACTAGAAATTGTACGGGTCCTTAAAACAAGCACCACAACGTAAATACCAACAGATAAGGAACAGACTAAAACTCCAATGGGTTGGTCTTTCAACCCCAATAGCTACATAACGAGGAATAAGTCCTTTTTCATCTCATCTGTCTGCACACATGATTGCAGACGTAAATTCACATGACCTGTAGTAGTCCAATCCCGTCCTTTGGACAGGCTTTTATGCAAAGCCACTTAATCTACTAAAAGATTAAGCATTTTCGGTTCTGTGGTCTTCCGGTTTGACTTTCATAACCTGAGCTGCGCAGATAGCATTCTCATTTCCACGTTCCTTCTAAATGCTCACTGTGTAAAAGTTGACCATCTTCCAATAATTCAGGGTCCTTCTCCGTTTTTTCCGTTGACAAGTGCGTGCGCTATCTTTCCCAAACGACAGTGCATTGTTGTCATTTTAACATTTTAACAGTCACAGTGCATTTACGACTTTAACCAAAGCCCGTGCTAAGATTTTGAGACACTGAAGTTAATAATAGTGATTTGCGCTTGCGTTCCGACTGAACGCGAAATTGCCTCGGCAAATTGCCAGTTTGAGGTAGGAAACATTTAAGTAACCACTAATCCGCTTTGACAAATATGATTGCTGATGCAATTAATGCTAGTATCGAGCAATCGCTCACTTCGTGAATAAGTCCGTTTATCACTAATTAAACGTACGTACCAGTAGGACTGCGCTAAATCGCTGTGTTACTGGCTTCTGTCATGCAAGTGCGAGTGGTAAGGTAACAATTTTGTCCACTATCATCGCGCACCTGAAAGTCACAGGCATTGAAAGCCATCCAGTCACAAACATTCCAGTTCCTTTTCTTTCTGAAATACTACCACCACAGGGGTGAAAATCATCCCAGTGAAGCGTACAGTGGTACTAATATACTATGCATGTATGAAGCTCTCGTAGACGTAAGCAGAGTTTGAACAATCTAAAAAATGTCGAAAATCGCGTACAACTCCAGTTTACTTATAAAACCTATGCGATTAAATGAGGTTGGATTGGCAGGTTTGTAAGTTCCTGAGTTTACGCTGGTGAGAAGCTTCACATTGCCAAACCCATTGGTAAGAGTAAAGCTTCCGTCATCAGTGGTGGGCTGCGTACCTGTCGATGACATTGTTTTACTATTCGCCTTCAACTCGTCGTCGTTGTAGATGTATTATCGGAGTTGTCATTTCGACTAACATTTGACCTCTAACACAAGGGATGGAATTTTATGCAATTGTTGTGTTACTTCACTATGCAACTGAAAAGACTCAACAAATGCAATGCCATTTAACAGTTATTTTAACATCGTCATGTTTGCTTGATATCACATACCGCTGATTGACTACACGAAAAGATGTGTTTGCGCTAAACAGAGGCCACATTTCTCCTAAAAAATAAAATTTATGCGGATTATTTTAACTGAATGGTGTGAAAATGCAGCATATTTTATGCGCTTAATGACTACACTAAGATGGCTGAAGTATTTGTGCACTTCTACACATTCATTATTTAGTATGCCATTAAATTGGTGAAACCGATTAACCCAAGTGATGAGGGTGAGTGCAGATGGAGCACAAGACGTGTGGGGTGTCGCAAAAGACGTTGAGAGGCACTAGAGGGGCAACAAATCGCCGCATCCCAAGAGCGACTAGCGCCCATCAATTACATTAATCAGTCTCGACACAACAAAGGCACGACAGCGGATGTTTAAAAAAATTGCAGGAAGCACTCTACCATGCCCAAAGGACTTGAACCAAACCACTAACTAGCCTTTCAAAGCATCAATTTCGTAATTTACGCGAAAAACTGAGTCGAAATATGAAAATACGGCTTAAGCTATTCAACTTCTAGGAGGTTAGCTAATGTAATTGGCTAGCGTAAAGATAATAAACTTACTCAAATACTTTCTTGACATTTGGCAGCAAACGCAGAAAATCAAATTCAGCAGGCAGGACGCGAACGTGCAAATTGCAATGATGAAGACAACTTCCGCAGTGAAACTCATCTCTGTGAGGGATTTAAAGAGCGATTAAGAAGTTACTTCTTGATAAAAATAGCTTTTGATTGTTTACTCAAGGGATAACCAGTTTGGCGGATCGCCAATACCGTAAACAGGGTTAATTTCTGAAAACTGGGCCGAATTTTAGTCAACTAAAGTGGCTTTCAATTTGTTGAAAAAAATTGGTGATCAAACCGTAACTATGAAAAGAATATGAGCAGTTTAGTTGAAATTAATGCATTTTCAAAATGAAGAAGAGGGATTCCGCTTTATAGAAAAATGTTTCCACCTTTCTCCTTCAAAGGCATTGTAGTTTATTAAAATTTAGTGTTTTGGGCTATATTTGTAGGCGTTTTTATGTACTCCGTTGCACAAAGAATTGCCATCGACTCACGCAACTTGGCCGCATCTCCATCAGGGTTTGGATGTTCCATGGCCTTTGCCTGTGCAGCTGATTTGAGCTTTTTATGTCTGGAAAGGGCTCCTGCTCGACCTGATTTCTTCTTGAGAGGTATGTGAGTGAAGATTGGAGAGCTCTTGCCACGGTAGATGCACCAGAAATTCCCTCTCGTATTAGCCGATGCACTTCCCAACGCGTAGACAACTCGAGCGGTAGACTCTGAGGGGCGACTATATCGGCAACTGATCACCCCGTCGTCGGGTATTCCTGTGCAATTTCGATGACCTGAATAAATTCAGCAGTAAGAGCATTTTATTGCATCAGAAAGAACTAAATTAACTTTTAGTTAATTTCACATCCCAGCAAGTTTGCATTGGCAAGTGGGAAGGATATTAAGCCACTTACATTGATGAACAGCAAGCATTCCGAAACAAAGCATCAGCGCAACTTTATCGCCTTCTTCATGAGGTCATTGATGGGATACCTGAGTGTTTCGCAATACCTTAGCTTATCCCACACAATTAGGGTACGAATCAACCGTGGTTCCATAGGTTAAGATTTATACGAACATTTAAAATGGCTTTGGCACATCAGAAACAAAGGCGAAAGCTAAATGGGCAAAAATTGCCGGAAACCCTCAAGTAGCGGCATCATAATTAATTTTTAACTAAACTAACAAAAAAGATTGTCTGGCCAAAGACTGATGAATAACTTTAGCCATGGGGATTCAAAAAAAGCTGTGGTTTCACACGGATCCCTCATGTTAGTGATCGTTTTAAAATATGGTAATGCTTAGATGGCGCGGACCTCCTGCATTTTTCGGTCATCAAAACAATCCTGACGGCAACACGTGTATTTGTGGGAGGTGCGAATGATAAAAGCTTGGTGTTGTTGGCTAATGGAATAGGAAATGGACTTATCATTCGTCAAAATCCGAACTGGTGAAGGTACGACATGCCGTTACTTCGTGTATGTATCAAACGCAAGGAGGCATGGAAACGAACAGATGGTGTGACACTAGCACAAAACGACTCAAATTTAAGTCACACATTACGACAGGAGGCAAGCAAGTTAGTCAACCAAGACTAGCAACAAAATTGACAACTATTGACAATTCCTTAAGCAAGGCTCAAGCTAGAGCACAGAAATTGAATATTCTTAATCAGTAGTTGTCTAAATGTACTAGAGGTAAGATATTATCTCATGTGCTGCATTTTGGGATGATAATATGCGAAACTGCTAGCATTCCTTTAAGCCAGAAGTGTGATTAACGTATGTTCTTTCCGATTTGAATGGGCAGCTTAGGTCGCGCCTTTTATGAATTAAAAAAAAAACAATTTTAGGCGTACCACAATCCATTCTAGTTTTCGGATGTACATGGATGATTAAAGACGCATATGGCACCACTAACCTTCGTTTTTGTGCAATGCTACCAACGGTGAGTGAGTTTTCGAGCCCACCCAAATTTGAGGCAGAGTTGGTTCTCACAATGAGTCACACCGCACGCCTTAGTTGCACTTCCCCCATCTACCACAACAAGTAAGCGAAATTCAAAAACATCTTTTCACATTTTGTGCGGCGGTGTTGTCTTCTTGTTACACGAGAACAGGAGTGGTTTGTGCTTCCTCTTCGACAGATTTTGTGACCTCATCGTAAAATCGGTTGTGAAGGTGCGTCTAGCGGGTGCTCTGATTGGTCAGTCGCAGTAAATATGGGGGCATTTTACTAGTTCAGCTTTTAAATTCTAATTTTACGCTTCTTAAAATCTTGTTGTTTGTGACTTCTCAATGAACAACAGCTGTATTTAAGAAAGTAGTCGAGGAGGCCAAAGGTGAGTTTTTAATTGAACCTGCATATGTGCAAGATTAAACTCATTAAGTTCCTTCCTTTCTGAAATTCAAAAAGAAGTTATTGCGAACCAGCAAATGATAATGACTTCTAACAGCAAAACCAGAAATATTATGGTAAGTGGAAAACTCCAGTATCAAAAAATAGCAATAATAATTACTTGCTATTCACCAGTTGCCTGTTTACATGCTTGGAGGGTTCATATGATATAAAATCTTGAAACCAAAACTGTGCAATTTTCTGTTTACTTGCCAATTGCAAGCCAGGAGCCACTTTGAGCTAAAACGCATACGTTTTCAAAAATGCTTGAAGACTGTCGCACGCCTTGAAAAATCGTAATCAGCCTGCAGGCAACGCACATCATTATAGAGAAAAGCATACAAGCTTTGTGAAGTTATTTTACGTAAAATGCACCTGTCTACATCTTACCATTGATGAGAGGGCAAGACAGAGTGCAATTTTCTCTGCATACTTTGTTACTTCGAATGTCACACCCGAGGCTAATCATGGCGGTGTCAACCTGGCTTCCACTTGCTGTGCACCGCAGTTCCACAATTCCGTTCGGCATCCGAACCGGTTGAAGGGTGATGCTCGGCTCGGCGCACGCCCGAGAAATCGACTGAATGAGTAAGCTTACACTAACAGCCCATGTAAATACTTCTAAAAGTCAAAATTTCTTTGCATTGGTACCTCTCAAGCCTGTGAACAGATTGGGTCTTTTGGCATAAAATGTATGCAGTTTACTTCGTACTTACTTCCGCTATTGCCTTGCTCAGCATTATTATTTGAGATTTCATCTTATTACATAGTAAACAGACATGGCAAGTTTAAGCTCTCCCAAAAATAAGCAGTCTAGCATGAAAGTTACAACTGAGTTGTAGACTATCACCAAAACATTTTCGTCGACGATATGATTTGTGACATTTTTAATTACATTAACATTAACATTACATTACATTTTAATTTACATTAAACGATAAAAATGTCGAAATGTATAACTTGAAATATGAACGGTTCAATAATTTTAAATTGCTATTCGTGTAGGAGCGGGTTAGGCAGTTGCACTACGCCAACCTGCTAAAAGGTACAGATGCTTAGTACTGCCCTAGTCAACACGTCTATTCACTCAAAGCTACATTAAATTTCGTGGCATCGCTTCCTCGTCTTCGTTATCCAAGTAGCATAAAGAAGAGGACGTAAAACATGTTGGTCCCTTACTCACCACCCATGATGGACGAGAAATTCACTATTTCAAGCCAGGCAACACGAATAAGAGAACCAATAAGTAATTGTTAAAAAGGAGCCCCGATACGCAAACATACGCAGCATTGCAGGCATCCTGAGGTAGCACTTCGATTGATTGCATGATGACAGTGTGCGACTGAACAAGAAAACCTGGCGCCTGCAGCCAATCAGCAAGTCCAGCACGAATAGACGACTCAAAAGTAAGCACAACCGATGTGAGTGTGTTCGCTCACTTTGTCATTACAATACCTTAAATACCATCGCCAGGAGGAGGAGGAGGAGGAGGAGGAGGAGGAGGAGGAGGAGGCAGACTCATCATGCTGGCAGGCGGCATAAAGGAGCCTGTAGGAACCTGGTTTTAGAAGTTGTTGTAGGGAAGCGGAGGAGTGGTTACATGATGCACATGCCTTTTCCCAGACACTATTAGCTAAATATGTTACATTTGGTAAATGAATTTTTCTCAGCACTATTCTGTGTCCTCGTCTGCAAAAACCATGACTGCACTACCTTTGTTTTCTAAAATAGATTCAGTCTTCATTCTTCAACTCCTAAGTTATGCATTCTGTGGGGAACTTAATGACTACGTAACTGTAAGCTTTAAGATGCAAGTCGATTTCGAACTCATGAACTGGGATACAGACGGGGAACGGGCACCATATTAAATTCCTGTACGTCAATTTCCAGGCGCTTCATTACTTATGAGTTACAATCTATGATATGACATTGGTGTTTTGATTAGTGGCACAAAAAGTGAATCCATGTAGGGCATGAATAACAGGTGAAGTTGACGATGACTAGCTGTAAAAAAGCATAAGTCTTGAGTCACTCAGAGTGTCAAAAAAGATGGCTTCATTAGTGTGCTTTAAAAATCCATGTTATTGAGACGTTCGTGTGATAACTCAAATGCTATAGGCAAAAAAGTCAATTCGAATGTTGCATATGAAATTTTGAATGCGAACACTGGTAGATAGGTTGTATGCTCATTATGCGGAAAATCGTCATCCTCCTTTGGTTCATTTCCACACATTCGAATTGCTAAATGTCAGTCAGCATGAGCAGAAACCGCTTGCTTTCATTCATAACTTCTTGCATAATCTAAGCTAGCAGGTCATTAATTAATCAAGAGAATGCTCAAATAGAATCCCATTAACTCTCACAGTTTATCCATCGTATCCATTTGCCATCACCCGTTGATGAAAACAGAAATCGCAAAATGATGTGAGTGCTACTATCAAGGCAAAAAAAAGCTCCTAAGAAAGTTAACTTCTTGAATAGGAAACGCCTTGGAACAAAGCGTCTTGATTTTACTTCGTTTGTGAACAAAAATATTCCAATATTTAACCACGTGATCAACAATCTGCCTTCATAATCGGCTGCCAAGGAATAGAGGAATTTTACAATTTAGATTGATTACGTTTATGATTTCAAAAATGGTCGCTTCTGCTGGTGCATCGAAAAATCGGAACTAACTCATTTGCCATAGCGAAGTTTGGAATGTCCCATTCCTCACAGCAGCAAGTGGTCTCCAAAATCGGGTTCTTCCCAGTCATCATGACAAAGATGGCGCTTCATCTGAGTTTTCGCAAAGTTTATGCAATAATTGTCACCAACTGCAGAGTAACTGTCGAAGGCTAAGGCTGGGCATAAGGTTATAAGAAAACATTATCTCCATTATTTCAGTGCGTGAGGGAAACTCTGCAGCATCGACTTTCATTATTGAATAGCTCCACTCATTGGAAACTCCCTGTTTTGAGTTAATAGTCAACCAAGGTTTTGAGCAGATTTGATTCTTATCAACAAATGATTAAACCTTGCCATATAGTAAGTAAAAAAATATTCGGAAATGCAAGCAAATTTTTCCTTAAGGCTGGTTTCAGGGAAATTTCCACCAGTCTTATGTCCATATTAGCCTTAAGTTGTGCTTGACATTAAAACAAACGGGATGAAAGTTCAAAGATGGTCGCAGCGCAGGTGTACGATTTTTGGTTAAAACAATTACCATGCAGGCGATTAAGGTGTTTTGTAATCAAAAGGAGCGATGTACAATGAAGTTTAAACAGACTTCCTCTCCACATGCAGGATAAGTAGGAGGACTAGTGGGTCATGCAATGGCCACAATTCTTGCAAGTCGATCACTTGCTGTTTCGGGTGCCTGTGCGCTTTCCGTCCTTCAATTGGAATGACATCCGGTGCCAGAGAGCAAAGTTGGAAATGAATTGAAATTAAGTGCCTACATATAATAAGAACATCCCATTTTCTGCAATGTTTGATGCCTTAGGTTTATCTGAGGCTTTCATTAAATACGCTGCAAATACTAAACCTTGGTGTTGGCGCACGGTAGTGATGCCACCTCAGAAGCGCTTAAGGAAACAGAACCGCATTCTATAGTGTTGCTTAGACAAATTAATTTGTTGTCTCGACGAGCTGAAATTAAAGTGAAAAGCGCAATGCTTGTGTGCGTAGGGTTAAAGCCCACCACTTATCTGTTGGATCGGGAAGAATAAATTTCGCGAAAAATGCTGAACATTTGCTTTCTAAATTACTCCGAGTGACTCAATTCGCAAGAGGAAGATTTGAGTTTAATTGAAGGTAGACTATTTGATTAAGCTTAAGGTTCCCTTTACGCAAGGATGAGAGCCGACACTTTGATAAGATGTCTGTGCTACCCATTCAAGCGGGCTAAGGGGAACTGAGGCAAATAGGCGCATTAAAATTATGTATTTAAAAGTTCATTGGTGTATTCTAAGCTCGCCTTATTGTCAGTTAGGCATGCTTGCGAACGGAAACCATAACACAACGCAAACTTAAATGCAATGATAAATTCATCGAGACCACTTTTTTGGGAATCGGACTGCTTTTATTGTGTTCCACTGATACACTTGGACTTCGCGTCAACTTCGGGTGGCGGTGCGTGCGCACTGCCAAAATGTTGTGGATTTTAAAGTGTCGATGGGTTCCCGTCCAAAGTGGTTAATTTATACCCTAGTAATGAAGAGCTGTGACCCAGACAATTCACACTGAGATCCAGACTGGTAAGATGAAAGCAATCCAAACACGTTTTAAATTAAATGGGGTGAGCATTAGTAAAGTGATAAGTCGCAGGAACTTTATTTAACACGCACTTTACAAGTCCATAAGTACCGGGAAAAACGGACGATGTTGTAAATAGCGCGTGTAAAGTGATTAAACCATACTTAAAATTAAGTCTTCAGTCCCTACAGTAAAAGTTTTCTCCGTCTATGCGATTGACACAAAAAACGTGGCTCAGTCACCGTTGCCACTTTAAAGAAGCGCCTCATAAAATACAAAATGGGTCATAAAATATCCCAGAGAAGCGCAGCGCTTCCCAGTGGGAATGTTAACCTTTCGTATAAGGGTCAAAGGTTTTGCAACTGTCTTGTGGTGTACACTATTAAAGTTAACTATACACAGTTAAGTTTTCCGTTTACAATGTTAAGTCATGCGCGAAACTTGGTGATGGAAATTGTAATCCTTTTCTCAGGCTCACGATAAAGCTTAAAATCAAATTTCAAGCATACCTGTTAAAGGTGTGGCCGAGTGAAACTGGAACGTTTTGGAATGGATGGCTTCACTTACACCAGCTCCCATTATGCATGGCAATAAGAGTGAAGAAAATTATTAGGCTAGTAGCAAATAAGCTGCAACTATTCATCAAACTTATTAGTATAATTAATAATTAGTCGTGTGATGCAGTCTCCACTGCGAATTCGTCCAGCGTAAATCAAATCGGCCCACCCTGGAGGACATTGGAAATCTTTTATGCATCACCTAAAGTCGTAAGAAGTCTGCTAAGCATAATCCTGCCCATTGGCTTTAGCCTTCACGCTTAGCTCACGCGTGAAGCGTTCGGCTAATCAGACGGTCATTTTTGGACAAAGTATGAAGAACCCACGAGAACGACTTCCACCTCTTTACGGCAAATTAAAAACTCGTTAAGACTTTTATTAGCTTACTTTACTGCTTGCATGTTAATTTATTATTTATGCATTCTCTCGGGCGAAACAAAATTTCGCAATCATCTACCCGAGTGTTTAATATGTAAGTTTGGTAATGCAAGTGTTTTGACGAGGCTTTTACTCGGGTAATGCATAGCACGATGGTAACCTAATAACTGTGCGAAATTAATCCCAGTTCAAGGTTGGTCATCCTTTTTACAGTATTTTCTGCACGCATGAAGTGCAATTTGGTCAAAAAATTTTCTGTGATGGCTTATTTATTTGCAGTTTCTTACCTGATAATAAGGAACCTTGGCAACATTTTCGTACTACTCAAAACAATTAGAGACGGATGTCACTGAAGTGGCAAGGATTCCAAAACACGCGCATTTTGTAGCAAAATAATGCAAACATATTTCCTTTGAAAGCGAAGGGCTTGATGTAAGGAGGAATGTTAGAAAAGGCTGTAAGAAGAGGTTGATTAGAGGCGGTCCTTCTTTCTTCTGCCGAAAGCAAGGAGGGCCATGAATGTGTCTCTAAATTGTGCGGACATCGCGCAGTAGATGACAAAAGTGATACCATTGTTGCTCAGAGTCATGAGGTCCATCATATCACCCAGTCGCTCGTACACCTGCACCTGAAAGCATCGGCCCATGTAACGATTGAGGATCAGCATCACGGACTACAAACAGGAAGAACGAGCTTCATCTTCGACATTCACTCCAATCATTGAAGTTTCGCTACCATCAATGGAAAAATCTCACTTATAACCCACGTAATGCCAAAGATAGACAAATAACTAACGGGTAATTCAAAAACGCACCTATTGTCATTTTCAGTCTACCTAAAAATCACTAACATTAGTTGCTATGGCAACAAAACCTTGTTAGCCGTAGGCACAATACATTGTGGTGCTACCAGAGCACTGCCGACGGTAGGGTTTATATCGGAGCCATACTTGCCGCCTCCATCAGACGGAACTTCGGTGCTACCAAGAGTGGCTGTGTCGTAAGTGCAAGGAATTAAAATTATATTTGAAAATTTAGATTAAAGTGGTTAGTTTACAGTCACTAATTTTACCTTTGAATAAAAGGCACTTCACTAAATCATTATTGAGCCTAAAACTAATGAAGATTTTCGGTTACGTTGTGTGGGTAATAATTAGCACTTCATGAATTAAATGGGGCAAAAATTGGCCTAAATGGCACTTATCACACTTGCAGTTGGGGTTGCGTTCTGTTATATGAAAGCTTAGCACAACTTCATGATGACGCATTCTGCAAAGTGCAATTCAGCTGCTCCTCTCCGATGCCTTGCGCCGATGACCGAAGACTAGGAAGTGATGTAGCTGTTTTGTGTTTTGTGCATGCTCACTTTATATGTGTGTGCGTACATACGCCTTCGGCGTAATTTTGTACTATGTGGTAGAATTGAAGGGCCTCAAAGTGCTGAAAACTAAACACCATGCCCGAAATTCTGGATGTCTAAATCGTTAATGCATTAACTTCCGCTTCTTTCCCGTGATAATGAATGTCGCTCTGCTCTACTTTAATTACAGCAGCGAGCATTACACGTGTATTTACAGGAAGGGTAACTTTAGGCACATGGAGAGACTGTGGTGATTAAAGTTCTAAATTATTTTACCTGAAAGGAAACTACCTTAAATTCAAAGCTCTTAGAGGAAATAGTGATACAACGGTGGATTTGGTGAGAGTAAAATGCGTGAAAATGGAACGGGAAGACAATGTCGATATCAGTGCCGGAGAACTGATGGATTTAGTTGGGTGGATTGCAAGAGCACTACCACTTATAACTATGAGATTTGATTTTAGTGTAATTGGAGTGCACTTAAACTTGCTTTTGAACGTAATAAATAAACGAATAAAATGCTGCTTCAAATTAGAGCAACCTTAGACCTGAGGAGGGACCATCACTGACTAAAGTAGCTTATGTTTTATTTCTGCATTCATCATCAAGAAGCTACGCTTTTGGTTGAGTACTCACCTATCTTTACCATCCTATTTTTGTTCTGCTTATCCAGAGTGAGGAATTCGAGAGCAGCAGTAAAGCTGCGATACTGCTTGCAATTTAGTCAGTTCACTTATGAATTCTGCAGGAGTGCAGTGTTTGGCGTTAAGAGCTGAGCATGTGAAAGGAACATTTAAGGCATGAGCGGTTACAGTAAGACTCTGTTGGAGCATCAACGCCATTCTTAAAAAATGCTTTCACCTAACTTTTTCCTTGCTACTACCCATATCTTGCACCGCGAGTAACTGAACCTTTGGAGCAGAGGAAGCTCAATAAATTGCGATTACTATGCAAGCCCAGATGACTGCCTACTGTTATCGAGATCTACTCATCAACATCGTTGCGTGGCGATGGAGCCCTGGAATGTAACTATGCGTGAGAGAAACAATGATTGCGTTCGTAACTTTCCCCTATACAAGTGGAGATGTAAAGTGTAATCAAATGGTGAAATGCGTGTGGGAGTTCTGCGTCACATTGTCATTTTAGTTTTAATGTAGTTTACTTAAAAAAGCCTTTAATAAATGGGCTTCAGACAACTAGCAAATGCGTACAATTGCATTAATGGAGATGCAAACTAAGCATCTGGAGAAGTTGTTTAGGGTCAAGCTCTTTTGAGGAAACTTTGGCCACCTTATGGCTTGATACAATCAACTCGACATGGCAAAAAGTGCTAATAAAAAACATTTTGGAGATTTAGGTGATGCACTTGAAATGCAATGGATTTTAATCATTCACGAGGTATTAAAACATCTGACCCATAGATAGAAATGAACTTGTTGGAGCACCACCATGAATAAAACATTAATATACCATTAAAATTACACTTTTCCTCGGCTGACTGGCTAGGCTTTGAGTTTCCTCATGCCTTGATCAACTCGCCTTTACCTTAGCCAAGTAAAAGACAAAAGCAAAATAAAAAAAACGAAGTCCTAACATATGATCTTGCTCATTTGGCGTTAGTTGTAATTTACTTTAATCCGACTTATGACCAAAATATTATTAATATTAGAACGCCAATCAATTATTGCGGCCATTTTGGACGCCAGTGTACGCACTCGAGTGGTATCCTGACTGTCATACAACTGCCTTGGCCGAAACGCTTACAGGGGGGTCGCTGCTTCGTTTTGATGCCCAGCATGCGATGTTATAGTGCGCTGACGCTTGCAGTCATGCCCAGACTTTTTAAATTAAAGTCCGAAGTGCAAATGCCCTTATGCAAAATGTAGGATTTTAATAGTTTGTGGCACTTATCATCAACGCCCACTAATTCAGCGATAAAATGTTACAGAAGAGTGAAGAGTACACCCCAGAGACGAGAAGTGAAAAGCACAGGCACAGAAATAGCTTTCTCATGCTTAGGCACATCGAACTAAAAAAAGCACTTAATTGATAAAATGATGTAGGTCTCGCTATTACATAAAATGAAGACTTTCTCCACCGAAATAAAGGGAGAGCGTCACAAATCGGACGGTGGGGTAACAAGAATACAACAGTTCCAATTACAGCATTCACTTCTACCAACACGTTGAGTCACTTTGATGTGGACGCCAACTGAAGGAATGATGTAAGTAAAAATGTGGGTTTGCGAGCGTTCGAAGCGTTAAGAACAGCTGTCATAAACCTGGTATGGACGCCAATTTCGATTAACACCTTACAAGAATTATATTTTCTCGCATAAAAATGCGATGAGTGATATAAGTTGATCATCTGCAATGGTTGGTGCTCAATAAAGTAGCCATGAAATAACTTAAAAACCCAAAAAAGAAATAACAAATTGTTTTAAGTTCTAGTTTTGCTGCAGAGCCTAATCTTTTCCTGTTCCAAAGGAAACTTAGTAATAAATAATGTCTTAAGAGGTTTGCAAGTTATAGGCTTGTCGTACCTGGGGTAGATAGGTAAGTATGTACATTAGCGCTACTGCTAGCAGCATTTTGGTAGGCTGAGCAGATTGTCGACAATTATCAAAACCTCCACAGGACTTGAAGAAGAACCAGCGCAGCTTTTGAATTCTGTGCTCTTCTACAGAACAGCCGGTGGTGGGCGAAGACAGTGTGAGTGACGACCGCATGGTTTCCAGCGGTAGCAGTCTTCGCCTGATCATCTGGGTTTCACGGATCTTCTTTATCAATACTATGCTTAAAATCCACATAAGGAGGATTGGGATAGCCTTGACTAGCAGAGCGGAATTGTAAAAGAGGATTGTTTGAAGTACAGCGTTATCTACATAATCAACCTCGTATAGTTTTAAACCATTGCAATTTGGTTTTCGGTAATGAGTCACTTCATGAGCAAAGGCAAGAGGAATGGTAAGAACCATCGATACGAGTGCGACCATGGCAATGGCGAGCCAAACTCGAAGAGGGGCACACACAACTCTTGCCTGAGGGCCTGCGTGTATATAGAGTAGGCGATATGCGGCAAGTACGACGATTATCCATGTTGAAAACGTGTGAAACAAATTTTGGCCCACGATACACACCAGCAAGAGGTGAGCATACTCCTTTGTCATGCCGTTCTCTAAGCGAGCTACCAGTCGAAATCCAAGATCATAGATTATGTAGATTACCATCACCATGCCATCTGAAATGGCCAGGCTAGAAAGAAGCAAGTTGTTCGAGTTCCGCATGTGCTTCTGACATAGCACAACCACATTTAGAGCGTTGAGGCAGATTCCAAAAATGCAAAGAATCAGAGATAAAAAGACGTGAATCCGGTGATATGCGGAACTGAAAGCAGCTAAGGTAGGATACAACTCCTCGGGACAGGCCTCGTACGTACTAAAATTTATCGGTGACCGTGTGGTTGACAGATAATCATTCTGCATTATTTGAGGAGTATTCTAATGGGAGATAGGTAGGCGGCACGAACTACCTGAAAGACATTACTTTGAGAGTAAATAATGGAATTTCGGTAGCTTGCGTTGGTACTCCAACAGTAGAATTCCTGATTGGTTGACTTGTGACCGGGTAGTAATTGGTGGACATGCGATTGGACTTTATTGAACCACAGGCCATATTTATGAAAAAAGTCAATCTTTTTAGTTGTAATCGTAGCATGACAAAGCATTAGGCAGTTCCTAAGTTAAAATTTCACCAAATCGTTTACCTTATCTGCCAAGAAAATTTTGGCCAGTCTCTGTGATATTTGCGATAAGGAAACCCATGAACCGTACGTAATCTCTTACTAACTGAATGTCGTGCACTGTGCTGCCTAAGAAACATTTCTCTTTTTGATTGTTTTCCCCTTAACACTTTTTGAAGGATGCAAAATAGTTGCCATTAAGCTTATTACAACACCACTCAAATGTAGTGATGTGTTCATTTGCCGATTGTCTTCTGGGACACAGCTTTTGCAACCCACTTCCTTATAGTAACGCACGACCCTTCCTTCACAATCACTTGCATGTACCCTCCGCTTCAAGCATAGCTCCATGCGAACTACTTGTGACAACAACGTTCCCTCCGACATCTGTGATAACGATAATTTCCACCTCAATCTTTATGTCTAGTATTTGTGCCTCCCTCATATCCTTTCGTAGTAGCACAATATTGTTAAAAAACAAGTAGGATGTCTCAGCTTCAGGTTCCACCGAATATTTGCCCATTCTTTTGTCCTGATCCTTGCAACAATCTGAGAGTAAATGGATGTTCAAAGCTATATGTGAACCGGGCTGATCTTGCGGTAATTCAGCTGCTTATGGGGAGCACATCTGAGATCGTCAGATGCCGACGATTCGAGCCAGGATGCAATTTTCATGCAGTAGCTCAGCCCTCAACCCGATTAACATGCAAAATCTTGTTTACGAGTAACATGGACAAATGGCTACCGAAATTTCAAGCCTTTTTCGGTCGGCATCCATAAGCTATATGTCGACCTTGCTTTGTAAGGCGGGTCTGTATTTGGGTAGGCAATAAAACACAAAGTTTTAAATGTATGCCTTAGGGATGATAGCCGTCATTGAGAATTTCATACATATGCACAGACGTGGTAAGAGTTGCTGAACTTCAAAGCGTCTTAAGCAGAGGTCGCATAATCGGGATGACAGAGGCAAAATGTTTTGCAAGCTTATAAAACGAAAGCCGATTTCGATATAAGATACTGCTCTCCTTTCATGGTTTAGCATGGAAGTCCAAGGGTTGGCACCGCAATTGGAGGGTTTATTTGTGTTTGGAAGTTCTTTCTTTGTTGTCGAAGCGACTACACCTTTCCTGCCTTTAAAAAAGCGGCAGAGGTTTCGTGGATACACTCAAACATACCACAAAAATGGTTTGCTTTGCCGAATTCAAGCCTGTCTCCAACTTGTTGCCGAATCCCTACCTTCGACCTTCGATTTTAGACGTGTGGTGTAAAATCGGTGACTTCTTACAGTGATGCATGGTAGTAAAGGACGGACTACGAGTGCAGTCCCACTTGACATTACCAGCACTTTGATGGTGGAACATGAGTTATTGTTCCCCAAATCGTGTAAATGCTGGTATCCGAGGTCACATCTGTCTAACGGTTTACGATCGCTTTGCATCTCTTTAATTCTACTCATATAGCTTAAGATTAAATTTGTAAGTTCATCAGAATACTGTGCAAGAAACCATTGCAGAAAGCACTCCACAGGTTAATAAATCACAGCTCGGAATTAACCGCTGCACTCTTTGATTAGCTGTTTAATAATTATCATTCCAATGGATCATGCATGAAAGTTGCATGTAGGCAGGGCGTTTAGAACGAAAAGGCGAAAATTTTTCAAAACAGGCACATTAATAAGACTAATGGGTGTTGGCTTTCAAAACCACACTTTCGTGATAGTTGTGAAGAGCTCCCACAAGTGCTCCATCAAAACACATTAGATATGCGATTCCCAACTATAAATAACAAATTAGTACTCCTAAGCATACCTTAGCAGTAAAAGTAATGGAAGTGTCTTTGAAATAAAATATCAGTTAGGTTCTAACGTTTTGGACCCAAAACTCCTGCTTCCTGGTAGGTAAAGTAAGTCAAGATACGATAACAAAACTACTCGACGAAGGAACGATATGCACTTAAGCAAAGATTCCCACCGAGCGGCATTTAAAGTTATTCAAAAGTGTCCGACTCCGAGCCACCAGTGCTGGAACCTTCCGCAGTAACGGTGCGCCGGCACTGTGGGACAAGTTTAAACGAAGTGCTCCAAGTTGTAAATACATTTTTCGTTTATTTAATCCTGGTGGGTGACGCCTTTTTGTTTTGCTAACTTTTTTTCCTTTTTCCAGCCAATCGCATGAATTTCATTCCACATCACAAACAAATAAGTAAATATCACTGTCGCCGTTGTAAAAAGAACAAGAAGTTGTGCCATCAACCCCATTGGGATGCACAATTCGATAGTGCTAGGAGTAAAATTTATGGCAACATAAAGTTTGGATATATTTTTGGCCTATCCCCTAAATCGTTTACCCAGACAAAGTAAACAGCAAATCAGTGTAAAGTATTCCGTTGCATTGTAAACGCTTTTTTCAAAATCCCACTGATAGCTTGAGTGGCTAAGAGAGGGAAGGACAAACAATTCCTCGTCTTCTTGGTGAGGGATAAAATCGTTTCAATTTTCATAAGAATACTTTTCTGACAGTTAACGCATGTTGAGGCTCTTAAGTCTAAATTCATTCAAAAATCCCGCACGTGAAGTAAATTCCAGGACAAATATACTATCAAAGTCAGTTGTCAGTAGCGTTTTGATTCGGCTGTAATGCTAAGCCTGGTTTTGTAAGTGCGATTACTTTAAAACGCCATCCTCGCATGCTACTCATCTTACTGAGAAGAGGACAAACTGTGAATGTGCACCACTAATGCCCTAAATCCTATCTGATAGTGAAGTAGCTCTTATTTCCTCATTTACCTGGAATCTCAATGCATTACTCGACATGACTACTAGATAATCTGAAATCTGAAGGTAATTTTGGTGGATACTGCCTGTATATGAAAAAAGCACAGAAAGCACTCGCCAATGATCAGTCTTGATAATTTTCCACAGCGCACAAGTTTGGTAAGACTTGAGGAGCATGCATGATCCCGAATACGCTGCTCTGCTCCTGTTAAAACCTATAAACTAGCAAGTGTTTCAGCCTTAAGGTAAAACTCGAGCTTGTTTTATTTTTTTCTGGCTGCTTATGGACGCCAACACTGTCAACGCACGTGCTTGTCACATTTTTCTGTTCTTTACTTTTACCCCCGAAGTTGGCCCCCTAAATGAAGGCGACTGGTTAGGGAAAGGCAACCTTTTGTGTGGAAATGTTAGAGTTCGCAAGCAATTTAGGTTTAGCAACTGACTAGGAACATACCATTGTAAGATTCGACAATGCGTCTTCGGTAGGACGATTGGTTGGTTGCCACCGTTTTCAACTAGTGTGCATTCAAATGCCTGCACCACATCGTAATGACTTGTAAAGGCGAAAACTGATACACATTCCCCGAGATCACTCCAGTTTTATGTCTTGTATGCGTTTTAATCGAGTTGCTTTTTCTCTCATCTCCACCCGTAATGCTAGTTACCACGACCTTGTTTGCAGCTGTGGGTGGAGGATTGCACCTCCTTTCGATAGCTCAAAGTTCGCCTCGATACTCTTTTCGCTTGACTTATGGTAGCCGTTACTGTCGCTTGAGTGAACATATTGCCTCTACTGGGATGTCTGACCTCCAAGTCACGACTGAAGCCCAAGTCACTTTTGTCTTAATGCATGCACCAGCCTAAGTGCTATTCTAAGCCACTGTCTACAAGGAAGTCTCAGGTCACTTCATTTACAGCGGGGAAAAGCAAATCCAAATTTGGATCGACTTTGGTCGTGGTCCTTACCGATAAATTAGCGGCGTGTATGAGCAAATCTCTGATCTTTTACAACTAAATGGCCGGGAATGGTGTCTGCCTTTGGCATTCCCATTCTCCGTTTCACTTGCCATGAATTATCCAAAATAGTTTTGTTTCGAAACGTTCATCACTGCGAGTACACTTGATTGTCAGTAATACGAAAATATGCTAAATCCTAGGTGCATATTACTGCGTTAAATTCCATGTGCTCCCTTAAGAATTCTGCAGGTCAGTGCTTCGATGTCCACTCGTATAAGTGCACGAGATGGCCACTCAAATTTCAACCTCGGAATCCTTTTTTCAAGCCAGTCCCAACTCTAAATTCTGTTGAATCTCCTCAGAGGAATCAATATTGGTGAGACCAAGTGCCTTTCCTCCCTCAAGAAGGCTAATGAATGGTACATCTGGCTAGTGGATGTTTTCTTTTGGCAGAGCATTTTCGAATGCGCTATGAGTAGCTGCAATGCTGCTGTCCAATGGGCCCACTTTCAAACCATGTCGAAAGGCCAATTCCCTTCTCCTTCCCCTGACTATATATACTTAACTCGAGTCCTGTGCCTTCCACTATAGTCCCCAACGCTACATTTACTTTGTTGATATTTGTGCAATTTTTTTCACATCTCGTCCTCTACGTCCATTTTTAAACACAATGCTCGTCATTCTCTTGACAGTCAATTTTGCCTAATGTACGTTGTTGTAAAAGTAAATTTAGCAGAAAACAATGAATAAGTAAGCGAGGGATTTATCCATCAGCCAGTAATTCTATAAACTCGCATCAAACTATTAAACAGTTTGTCTTTGAAGAATCATTTCAAATTGGATCTAAGTATAGGGCACAGAGCAAACTATGTGCGTATTTATGAGGTCATGCCTTGCCAAGCATTGACCGGCTGATCTGCCATAAGTGAAGTTTGCCATTATTAGTGCTTCCATTGTAAAACCTTCGTCCTACGATATGCACATCAAACTGTGTTCTTGTGCGTAGGAATTCGTCGCACGCCATTATGCGTCCGTCTTTTTGGTTGCAAGCCACAAAAGTCTAACTCTTAATTGTTTGCGAAATAACTGTGGTCCACCCTGAGTAGTATTCCAAAATCAAGATTTCAAAATATAACAGTCTTTTTTCCCTAACGACCATTAATTATGTGATATTTCTAAAAATAAGTGCCAGTTTGCCGCAAGTTTGCTTTCATTTCCCCACCCACCGCAACATGGCGACTTCATGGCCATTTCGGAGAATATGATTGATGGTGTGCGCCAAAATCATTTCGCCCCAAATCTACTTCTGCTGAACCACCTTTAAATTTTCCAATTTAATTGAATTCGGATAGGTAAATGCGACAAATGCGTGGTCTTCAAAAGACGTCATACGTATTAAAGTAGTGCAATGGAGCGAGTCCAGAGCTATGAAGAAATATTTATGAAATCTTATTGTTCCCTGTCTGTTTCCATATGTACTGTATCAAAAAAATCGGCAAACGCTCTAATCGGTTGCATCATGGCAGTACTTTGTATACTGAAATGGTTTCAATGAGCTGCCTGCAGTGATGCATAGAAGCCGTTCAAATAATTTTCGTTGCTCTATCCATGCGGCACCACTACTTGCCACTGCCCCAACGTTGGACATTAAAATAGCTCAGATTTATGTAACCCTAATGTTAAACCTTTCGTTTGTGGGCTTCGTACGTCTTGTGTGACATTAAGCACTGCCAATCCTGCCGCCAAACTTATTATTATTATACGCTGTGTCTTTCTTGGTTCAAGTTTCACTAGCTTGAGCTGCAGATCGACACGTCGCATACGTCTTCTTTGCCAACTTTGGTAGTAAATGAGTAAACGCAATTGTACGATGCATAAGTGGTTTAACCAAGTGGACCTTTAATGAGTACTAAACCGGATAATGTTCGTTGAGGACTTTAGAGCCTTCCATCACAACTTCTTTGCGATAGCTATTTCCAAATCTCTTTTGACAGTATGTGGAAGGTGGACTCTCAGCTGCACGCTCTATTTCCACATGGAACACCTTACACTCTTTGGCTGGGAAGGTTTGATCAAATTAACTGACCTTTGGGATATGCCGCAGTACGAAAACTACCAACAGTACGGTTGATACAACCATGATTGTCTGTTAGACAGCCATTTTGAAGAAATAACAAAAGTACAAAGTAAAATTAAGGCTAGCGACGGCTCACTCTAATTGCGTGGCTTTTAGGATGCAGCGGTAACAGCGCCGTCACCTTATTGACCTCAAGACAAAGTTGAACTGCGACGTTCATAGTGTATTTAAAGCCGGGTTCGCAAGCCGCCATCCAAAGTCTCTCTGAAGTGCCTCTATAATGTGGTAAGGACAACTGATCTCCTGGTTTGGCTCTTCAATTTTTTGCGGTTGTGTTTGCCGTGTTTAGCCTTTCAATCATTTGAGTCTGTTTTTAATCGCGCCCAACTAGTCACATACCTAACTTAGGACAAACAGTACTCAAATAGTGTAGAACTCTTAATTGTTGATTCTTATCTAAACAAGTTAAGAAATTAATGCGGTCTTCGCCTATATTGCTCTGTGGACGAGCTGTACCTGTATCACTAGCAGATGAACCATAAATGGCTTCGAATCAGCCTTCAAAGTTCATGCTTTCACTCCCTTGAAAAGCAATTCCTTTGACCCTCCAACAGCATTTGAGGGTTTGATTTTGCCCAATCTTGCCCTCATTTGTAGGGTAGTGATCAAAACATTTTATTTTCACGCATTTATAAAGACCATTGTTGTGGTTTCATGTCTGTTCTTATACTCCATTTTAAACATTGTGCGTTTCATTCTGCTGCTTTTATGATTTACCATAAAATTATGAATGGGCTATTGTCGATCGCATAGCTAGCAATTTGGAGGTCACTGGCAACATAACCGTTGTTTTTTCAGTCCTGGATGTTGCTGCAGTCCCTCAGGTTATTGCGGTTCTAACGGCTGTTGTGGCAGCGGCTATGGCATGGGTGGGTGTGGTTGCGGTTATGGTCAGTTCGGTGGTTGCGGATGCGGTTCCCATGGCGGAGGGTGAGCAATTTTTATTGCAGTTACAGCAATGCTTTGATTTGGAAACCCTACTTTCATTTCTCACCCTACCTCCTTTCTAGCCTTCACGATTTTTTGTACAGACATCTTCACGTCCGACTAATAATAATAATGCCTTTTATCGGGGCAATCAAATTTGAGCATAAACATAAAAGTAGGGTCGGTAGCTTCGTCATTTCATATTTGCGCGCTTTGTGGTGACTAATGAAATTGGCTACTTCAGTTTTGGTCGATTCTACGTAATGCAAGTGCAATAAATAAGGTGAATCAAATTGGTTTCCTTTAGGTGTGTTTGTAGCCCCTGCTGTGCATCCTGCTGCTGCTGTCGTCCAAGCTGTGGGTGCGGTTGTGGCATCCAAGTTGGCTGCGGTCCCCGTCTCTACAACTGTGGACGAAGTGGGTGTTGCGGCTGCACCATTTAAGCACTGACAAATTGCGGTAAGTAGGGTTCAAAAGTAAAGTAGTGGCAGTCACTTCCCTAGCCCTATCGAAGGAATTACTGTTACTTTAGCGTGGTGGGGATGGAGGAGGGTGTGCAAGGAGTGAGGTGTTCTGAGGCGAAGCCTAGTATATTTTAGAGAAATGTGACAATAAATAAAAGTTGCACTAATTGCTTACCATCACTGTAAAAGCCTTTTGGGGTGTGGATAGGTAAAACTTTCTCGTCTTTTTGAGATTACGCACTTTTTTGTCAACAGTTTAACTCGAGTTCGTCCAACCATACTTCAGGACGTAGCCTACCTTTTCAAAACCGAATTCCAAAAAAAATGGAATGCAAAAAGCATTTTTGTTTAATGCTTCCTAAAGTGTTGCCCTGATACGGGAGCAGGTGTTAATTTTCTCTTCTTTTTCAGAAAACCACTGCTACTGAAAACCTTAGCTGTTGTGAATGCGTCAGAACAAATACATGGTCAGGCTCATTTCTGTTCTCTTCTGCTTTGGGGGTTCACTAAAATTGTTTACAATTTGTCCTCACAACAGAAACTGATTGCAATTTTTTTTATCTCATCATAAATGGCATCAATTTTCATTGGTAGCAAGGCAGAGCCCGCATTCAATTTTCCTTGACACACTATATTGAAGTCAATTGTATCAGCCATTTATTCAACGAATTAAACGTAATGGCTCATAATTCCATCGTAGCGAGGCAATAAAGTCCAAGATTTTGCGCCACAGCCGAAATACGACGTCCGTGGATTATGAAGGAAGTTTCTTTAGATCAGAAACTTCACTTAATCACCAAGGATACATCGAAGTTCGCAGTGTGGATCCTGCCATTTCGTCTACTGTCATATGACTAATAAAGCAAGTGGATGTGTTCAGTCCTTTTCGTCTCCATTACTTTTTTGATTACTGAATGAAGCAAGAACCTGTGCCATTAAAGTACATCTTCAAACATGCTAACTGCTCTCAGTGAAGTCGTAATCCAGTCGAAACATCCTCTTGTTGAGCAGACAGAATTTTGTCACAGACATCTAGTACTGGTACTCTGTGAGGTGGAACCTATTTTGTGTTGATTCCAATCTCACGATCGACCCATTTACTTGTGCTCGTAAGGGAAACGGGGTAAAGTGGTGGACGCTGCAGCAGTCCTTCCTAAACCACGATGATTTTGCGTGCCTCGAGTGTATAATCGCCAAAACACAGGATAGCGAATCAAGAAAAAGGGGTTAGAAAATAACTCGTCTCCACTGTCCTGACAAAGCTTGTTTACATGATTTTCAACTTTATTTTACATTCTTTTTCTATACGCAACAGATCCATCACAAGTATCTTGGTTATTGTAAGATGAAGAAGTTTGCATCTGCTAATTTTACATTGTACCAACAGATCTTGCATTCGTACATTAAATGACGCCTGGTTGTTTGGTGTGAAAGCTTCAAATTAGCATCGTCCAGATTTTCGAAGGTTTATTCAAGAAGTCAACTAAAATCAAACCGCTTTTAGTAGAGCACATAAACGCTTGACATGGCGTGATGAATGCAGCATCTTAGTAACTACCGCCTGCATGCATCCACTTCCACACAGCGATATTTGTCGTGTCTGAGTTTACACAGAGCATCTAGTAAGTCTGCGACAGTTCTTGCAGCACTCTGTGTTGTATTTTTTTTTTTTTTGGTTTCACCTTTCGATGCACTATGAAGAGTAAGGGAGATTCAAGAGGGGCAGCAGCTCACAATATTCAAGCAAAAAATGAAGTAAAAGAAGCACCCACATGAGAAGAATATGCGCGCGTAACTGAAACTCCTAAGACTATCCGTAAAACTAATTACACCAACACCATTTTGATTTTATCAAGAGACAATTTAAGACCCCGAATCTACTGGATGTAGTGGTTGCTTATTACTACAACTACATCTGCTTGGAGGGTATAAAATGACCGGCAGAAGAGATGCTCATTTTGATGCGGCATCGGGCCAACTCTCTTTTGCAATGGTTGAGTATCTTCCTCAATTTAAACCGTTTTAAGGCCAAATCAGCCCCATTTTACGCGTTTTGGAGAGCTGATATTGTAAATCACTTTCTTATTACAATCTAGAAACCACATGCAACTTCGAGCATCAATTACAAAATAGTACGTTTATGAGGGGAGCATCTTCAAGGAACAATGGCGTAACCGTAGGCTTATACCTTTAATTTGGAAAATTTACAGTACAAATTCGCGAGCGGATTTATGTTTGTTTCAATAAATTCAAATTTATACTCCCCTTTAAGCTGGGTCCTTTTACTACCGGAACGAAAAAGCTTCGGTGAAATGGAATTAAATTTCATAAGTGCATATTAGTTCTCTTTGGGCTGCATCGAAATGCGTGCATTTGATTTTACTTTTACCAGGTCTTGGGTGCTTGAAAAAGAACGTTTTGCTCCAACCAGTACTTTAAACGTCACCTGTGCTTCTCACTGGTGATTTAAGAGAGTAAGTCGAGCGAAAGTGTTGGTACCCAGGAGGGGCAGGATAGTGATACTGCTGTGTCAACTGTCAGTGACCACAAATTTCACGAAGTAGCAAACAAAAGGTTATCTCATCAGCTTTTATTGCCTTAGATTTGGCAAGTGAATCATGAAGTGGGAACTATGCAAACGTCAAAAATAATCATCCCTTCAAAATAAGGTTTTTCAGTTTAATTTACCCACTTCTTTTGATCTCATCAAGGTTTCTTCCCTTTTTACGCCAATTAAATCTTTGGCTTGGTCATTCTTTGGGACGCAATTTATCGTACACTCGGAGAGCGCAGCACCATAGAAAATAGTGCATAACAAATGAAACGAAAATAGTCAACGCCGACGTTGAGGTTCTAAAAGGAAAAAGAGCAAATGCCTCCTTAACCTAGCGGAAAGTTATCTTTGCTTGTGCTCGCCACTGTTTTATAACTTTTGGTGATTAAAAAGGAAATAAAATATCAAGTAACTTCGATCAAATGGAGTAAGGGAAATTGCGCTGCACAGTCTCCACCAATAATCAACTTTCATCATACACTTTATTTTTGGCATCCATATTGAAATTAATTGCTCCTACTTAGGAGTAAAGTGAGGTTCTGTTTATCCTAAATTCACCAAAAAGAGATATTTTTTCTTTAATTAAGCTTGTTTCCTAATTCATTAAGGCGTAATCGAAAGATAAGTGATTCCACCGCCGGTGTTGGTGATGCTATCCTCTTCCCCTCTTTCCTCCTCCTTAAACATCACCTCTTTCGATGCTGACATTTCAGGTTCCTGGTATGGTCGTGGATAAATGCATAATACCGTTGCATAATACCGTTACATAGCTTTCGCTCAATCCTCGCACACCTTTATTCAAGCAGCCGTGTCTTCGTTCGTGGCTTGTGTCCCAAACCTATCGTCAGCCCAGGTAGCATCTGATCGCAACCATTTTAATTATAAATACATGTATATCATAAGTGTTCAATCAGTGGGCGGATAAATAGGTGCTTTTACTGATGTTTAAGACAAAAAGGGAAAAGTGTGGTGGGTGCGTCCTTCCTCCTGCTACCAACCTTCTTTAGCTGGGTTGATCATCAGTTGTTAGCCCCAAAAGTGACACTACTTTAATCAAGTTACTAATGCTGTTGACGAGATAATTATACAATTCCATATTAAGCGCCTATAACGTTTAAATCGAAATCGTTTAACCATAACCACTTCCACCATAACCCTAACCGTTTCTTTGCAAGAGCCTTTGTACAATTACTGCAATTTATTTGACATTTTGCTTAGAAATCAACAACTTTCATGTCTCATGCTCCAGCTTGTACATTTTAAAGGAGCTCTGTAAAATCATGCTGACCATTGATGTTAAATAGTCCACTTGAATTTTCGTGCTCTCTTTCCTGTTTATGAGTAAGATGAAATTCCTCGTGCTGCCACATTGGATTTGTGGTGCAGAAGAAGCTTGGTACTAATTAGCCCCTGTGGTTCTCTATCTTCCGCAAGCCGCTGGCAAGTAATCCTTACCATGCTTCTTCCTTTCATTTAGTTAACATTTATTCCTGTAAACATTGAGACCAAAAGCGCTCAATTGTCTCTTAAAACGTATGTTGCTGCTAGTGATAAATGGCTACAACAAAAGCCGCTTTGATGTATTTTGGGTGCTATTGTATTGGCAAGCGGCAACTGTGAAGTCCTGGTCATAATTCGAGGCTGAATTGGGATCGGAAAAGTTGGTGGTGTTTGGCTGATGGTTATCGGCGAACAGAGGCTGCTGCAGTTTTGCTATATTTTACCCATCTCTCAAATCCGTTGCCCACTTCGGAGGGCTGTAATCCTCCTTTGCAGGAGGATTTTTTTGCATAATCAAAAGCATAAGCTTATAATTTTGCCAAAATTGAAGAGAGATGAATTTTAACACTCATTGGAAGCACATAACTGCATTTATTAACGCCTTCACTGAAAGAAAATTAGGCTTATAAGAGAATTATCAGGTTAAGTCTAGTCTAAGTGATGCTTTTAGTTACATCATCTTCAGCATAGATTATTTGTAACTAAGGCAACGGATCCTTTTAGGTGAGTTAATATATGTTAAGGAAGTTCATTAGCTCCGCCTTGAGAGGTAATATAATCCACCTTGAATTTTAACAGGCTTCATAGCTGCTACTGCTAACGTTATTAGTAGACGTGTTTCTACTCATGGCAGCGATGCTACCTGGACTTGAACTTTATCCGATGATATTACGTTAAAAGGGTTTTCGATATTTATAGAATGCTTCCATAGTATTCATTTTGTCGGGCTCTCTGGCGACCGCATAGCTTCTGGCGTGTGGACCAGAATTTGGGCCATGCCAAGACCCCCAACTAATCGCCTTCTAGACCGAATGCATGTATTTAGCCAAATCTTATCCTTTTTATTACCTAATGGAAAGTCTAAGAAGGCTACGAATCAAACGTAAAAATTGCATTCTTTTCTTTTACCTAAAGTGGTAATACAGTGGCAT